AATAAATAAATAAATAAATAAATAAATAAATAAATAAATAAATAAATGTGGTGGGGTTTTTTTATGTTATAAGAGGGGGCTCGGCAGACAGCTTTGTGGCTAAGTACCTGAAGACCTGATTTTGGATTGCCAGTACCCTCAAAACAGCTGAGTGCAGCCAGAAGGTGTCAGAGGCAGGTGGATTCCCACATCTCATTGGCCGGCCAGCCTAGCCCAGGCAATAAGCTACAGAATCAGCGAGAGACTCTCTCAGCAGGATATGAGGGTGCACGTCTTTAATCCCAGCACTCAGGAAGTAGAGGGGGCAGATCTCTGAGTTCGAGGTCAGCCTGGTCTACAGAGACCCTGTCTCAAAATAAAGTAGAGAGTAATTGAAGAAGATACCCAGTATTGACCTCTAGCCTACAGAGGTCATGAATGCACTCATACAAACACACAGAAAAAAAATATGTACATATCACACACCAATACATACATATTACACACACAACAGCATAGGGCAAACACATATACACACACCACAAAACATTCTTATGTTGGTTCTGGGGCTCAAACTCAGGTCCTCCTATGTTTGAGGCAAACATTTGAGGTTGAGCTATAAACCTATTTGCCCTAGTTGCAAAATATTTTTAATAATTATGTCATAACCTTTCCTGAAATAATCCAATTCTAAATCATAAAAATGTGGACATAAGTCAGGTGTAGCGGCACACACCTTTGATTCTAGCACTCAGGAAGTAGAGGCAAATGGATCTTTGTGAGTTCAAGGCCAGCACAGTCTACATAGTGAATCCCAAAACAGCCAGGGCTACACAACAAGATCTGTCCTGAAAATACCAGAACAAATAAATACATAAGTATAAAAATAAAATAAAATTAGAACATAAAGGTGATGCCATTTACAAAGTAGAAGCTTTAAGATAAATGAAGGCTACTCACTAAATATAATAAAACCTATGAGTTTTGGATGCTGTTGGTTTTCTTAGAAATAAAGTTTGTTAAGTAAGGAAAATCAGGGGCTGGAGAGATGGCTCAGCAATTAAAAGCACTGGCTGCTCTTCCAGGGGACCTGAATTTGATTCCCAGCATCTACATGGCACCTCACAATCATGCATAACTATAGTTCCATGGGATCTGAAGCCCTCTTCTGCATGCAGACAAAACACCCATATATATAAAATGCATAAATAAAATAGTGACATGAAGGAGGGAATAAAGGAGAGAAGCAAGAGCCAGATGTTGTGGTGCACACCTTCAACCCCAGTACAGAAAGCCATATTGACTATTAAGAACAAATTAATAAAGAAATTCTATTAATCATAAATGGTATTGAACTAATTTCAGTTATGTTGTTTAGCTTTCCATTTAATGCTTCTATTTTTAGGCCATCTGAAGTAGCACTAAACACGGTTCTAAAGGCTTCTATTATGGTAGTTCCCATCCTTAACTGTCTCCTAGAGGACATCCCAGATGACTTACTGAATCTGATGGCTTCTCAGCTTGTCCACAGTGATCTGTGATCTCTGGAGTGATCTCTCTGTCTGTGCAGTCCTGCCCCATATTGGGAACCAAATGTTGTTTAAGTAAAGGAAAATCCCAACTATTCTGTTTTACCAATAAAGACTCAGGAGCCAGATGCTGGAGTGAAAACCTGCTAGCTCAGAGAGCCAAAGAAAGTAACCAGCTGACCTTTTTCAGCTCAGGTCTGGGTGGAAAAAACCCAAAAGGCTCACTAGCTCAGCTGACAACCCAGGAACAAAAGGCTGAAACAAAAACAAAAACAAAACAAAACAAAACAAAAAAAAAACAAGGCCAAAGGCTTGCTACCTCAAAACCTAAAAATCCAAGGAGCTGAGGAGCTACAGCATAAGCTAGAACCAGGGCTTGAGCTAATAGCCCTTTCTTCTTCTCCACTCCTGGCACTAAAGTTTTTGTACCAATATGAAACAACTCAGACTCTCTTCCACCAGCAGGAGTCAAACATGTAACACTAAGTCTCTCTCAGCTTGCTAACTATCCTCCACAACAGATTATAAGGCCGCAACAGGCAAAGTCTTTGGTATCTTACTCACACATGTCACTTGGGCTCTTTGTGTGCGTTCAAATTCAGTAGAGTAGTATCGACTAATTTTGATTTTTCCTGCTGTAAGGCCCATTTTCCTCTTCAAATCACTAGCTCAAACCTTGGGAGGAATAACGGTAACATTCATTGAGTGGCACTACACAGCACCCACTCTTCTGAATGCTTTGGACACTGACTTATAAAAGCCTCTCTAAACATCTCTAGTATATAGATATTACTATTCCTGTTTTCCAGGAACAGCTGTGCATGCCTGCATCACCAGCACTTGGAAGACAGAAGCAGGAGGCTCAGGAGCCCAGGCCATCCTATATATCAAGTTGGAGGCCAGCCTGTGCTACATGAGACCTTGTCTGGACATAACAAGGGGAGGGAGGAAGAAGATAGGTTGAGGACTACAATTGTTTATTACTTTGCTTGTTACTTTTGAGACAGGACCTCATCTTGTAGCCCTGGTTGTCTTAGAATTCAGTATGTAAGCCAGGCTGGCCTCAAATTTGTGGTAATCCTCCTGCCTCTGACTGTGATTGGGATTTACAGGCATTCACCACCTCACTAAGGTGACCACAATTATTAAGTCTTGAGATTCAGACCAATAGAGACACAGGTGCCTACATTCCTCTCTGGAAACAGGAAAATGGCTTTTATATGAATGTGTCCCTTTAAGTAATAGAGTTACGAAGGCAGATTTGAAGGGAAACCTGTATTTTCAGACAAGAGATAAAATTGCTTACAAAAGCGTGCCCAAAGCCCCTTCCTTCTGTGTTGGGCCCTCACACATTTGCGCAGTCTAGCCATATCACCAATACTCCTGCCCAAGCAATAAATAAAACCCACAAAAGCATGTTTTCTTCATTTTTTTAATTTTTTATTTTATCTTTATTAATTACAGTTTATTCACTTTGTATCCCAGCCATCCCCTCCCAATCCCACCCTCCCTCTTCTTCTCCTATACCCCTCTCCCAGCCCCATGATAGGGGAGGTCCTCCTCCCCTTCCATCTGACCCTAGCCTATCAGGTCTCATCAGGACTGGCTTCATCGTCTTCCTCTGTGGCCTGGTAAGGCTGCTCCCCCCTCAGGTGGAGGTGATCAAAGAGCAGGCCAATCAGTTCATGTCAGAGACAGTCCCTGTTCCTATTATTGGGTAACCCTCTTGGGCACTGAATTGCCATGGGCTACATCTGTGCAGGGGTTCTAAGTTATCTCAATGCATGGTCCTTGGTTGGAGTATCAGTCTCAGAAAAGACCCCTGTGCCCAGAATTTTTAGTTCTGTTACTCTCCTTGGGGAGCTCCTGTCCCCTCCAGGTCTTTCTATCTCCCCTTTCTTTCATAAGATTCCCTGCACTATGCAAAAAAAGTTTGGCTATGGATCTCAGCATGTTTTGAAACCCTGCTGGGTAGAGTCTTTCAGAGGCCCTCTGTGATAGGCTCCTGTCCTGTCCCTGTTTTCTCCCTCTTCTGATGTCCATCTCGTTTGCCTTTCAGTAGGCATATTTCCAGCCCCCACTCTGTGTTATAGTATCATCAGAGGCCCAAAATTAGTTATCTCTTTGTGGGAGATAAAGTTTTTTTTTTTTTTTTTTAAAGTTTTGGCCTTCTCGTCAGGAAAAAAGTTGATGCACTTCCCATATATTTTGAGGTAGCAGCGCCAAGATGTGGCTCACACCTATAAATTCAGTACTCCGGTACATGAGGCAAGAGTGTTGGAGGCTAGCCTGGGCTACAAGCTGAGTTCTGGACCCACTGGACTATAAAATGAGGCCGTTGAAAAAGAAGAACCCTAACGCAAAGGGCTAAGACTAGCAAGCTCTGTTTGATAACACAACGTGCTTTTTCTAGAGGGCCGCCCATCCGAGGCGAGAGTACGCTGTGCCCGAGATGGACCTTAGGTGGCGCTACAGGGACGAGTAAGCGCGCCCAGGACGTCTCCAGGCTACCCTTGTAGGGGGCGGGGCGGTTCGAGCCTTCTCCACGGTGGGAGGAGCCTGCGGCCCGGGCGAAGCCACGTGTTCTGCGGCGCGCAGGCGCAGGATTGGTCACTCCCCCGGGAGTGAGGGCTGCTGGGCCGGATGACGTGGCCTGGTAACGTCCCTGCCCGTCCGGCCTCCGGGGAACGGCGCGGCCGGAACAGCCCGCGGCCTAGTCCCGCCCGGCGCGCGTGTGCCTGCCCGCCGAGCCCGGGCTAGCGGCGGGGACTGCTGGGCCTGCGGGGACGCGGCGCGCCGCTGTCATGGGGGAGTGACGCGCCCGCGCTTCCGCAGCGGCGGCGAGACATGAGGAGAGGCCGCGGCGCGGGCAGCGGCGGCTCCTGAGCCGGCATGGAGGACAAGTACGGCGGGGACGCGCGGGCCGGGCCCGGCGGCGGCCTCGGGCCGGTGGACGTGCCCAGCGCCCGGTAAGGAGCGACCCCGCGGCCGGCGGCGGTGCGGCCAGCTGCCCCCGCCTTGCCCGGGCCGGGCCTCGCGGGCGGGAGTCTGGGCTTGGGACGCACCGCCGCCGGTTTCCAGTCCCCAGAGAGACGATCGGGACGTGTCCTCCCAGCTCCGCGGTAACGCGCGGCTCCCGAGCGGCTCCCGAGCGGGTGTGCGGGAGGTGTCACCCGCGTCTCACGCGAAGAAGCCGAAGCACAAGCGGAGGAGCCTGGGTGTGCGGCACAAACCCAGCCCTGCCGTCGAGCTTTCGTTGCCGTGGTCTTGTGGGTGGAGGGCTTGTTTTAATTATAGGAAATGTGTTTTCTCCCTCCCCCGAAAACTCATGCGGCACAGGAATCCGCGAAGTGAAAATTCTTCTCTACCGTCCCTCCAGCCTAAAGGCGAGGACCGAGTAGCGTGTACGGTGACACTAGCCAGTGGTGTCCTTCCTGGCCCGTCCTAACTTCTGAGCTCGTGTTAAAAGATTCATAAACTAGAGCCCAGCGACTTCATACAAACTGGTATTCAGTCCCTTCATTTTTAAGGAGAGTCAGTTTTTCGGATTATCAGGATGTACTCTGAGAACTCTTGATTGTTTTGGTAATGGTCTTGGACCGTAGTTACAGCGTTACCAGCTAACTTTTGTGAGAACACATATGCTGGGTAGAATTCAAACCTACTGCGGGATTTGTAGCCGCGCTTGGTTTTCTGTCTATTTTGAGCAATTCATTTTTATGTCACATGTTATACAGTGATCCATAACAGCTAAATGCAGAAGGGGCTACTGGTATGGATTGATAATAGTGGGGGAAATACTTAAAGGGACAAGACTATATCAATTCACAAAATTGGACCGTGGTGACAGATTAAAGTGTCCAATCATAGTTAAATTTCCTGTGGCTAACTGCTGATTTCATAGCCGAGTTGCCACATTCTTAGGAAGTACAGCTATTGAAAGGTAAAATGAGACATACTTCATTTACTCTCAAATAGTTCAAAGGTTTTATGTGTGTGTTGAGAGAAAGTGAGTAGTTTAAAAGTGGTTTTGCTTAAGAGCCTACTGTCTTGGACAAATAAGGTAAATATTGTTTGCCAACCTACCTGCATTGTTTGCTTAGCAGAGTGGCATTTCTATTGTAGTTTATTGCAAAATTCAAATTTTGACTCCGGACTGGCTGAATTCTAATAGATTTCAGGTTGCCAGAGTTTTCTGTATATTCAAGTAGTAACTGCAACAAAAATTATCAGATCCTTTCATTGTGGCTATCTTTATGCCTGAGTCCATAAGTGTTTCTGTTTTGGCTTTATTAAACCTTTGATGGTCAGGACAGCCAGCTTTTGCTGAGCACCTCCTATGCCCCAAGGACAGTACACCTTCCTTTAATTTTCACAAGAGCCCTACAGACTAAATAATGGTTAGTTTGATAGGACAGGAAATTGAGTTCCCTAAGTTGTGCAGCTGGCGAATGACTCAAGAGTCTAATTTGTTTCAGAAGCTGTGCCTTAATTACGCATGCCTTCTGCTTACACCTATGGATGGGCATTCAATGAATTGAACTATTATTATTCATCATATTTCTTTTTGAGGCAAGCTCTCACACTTTGGTGTGCAGGCTGGCTCCCTCCTTCCTCAGCCTCTAAGTGCTGGGATTGCAGCCATAGTCCACTATGCCTGGTCAGTGGACCACTTTATTTGTGTATGTATGTATTATGAACTTGTGTTTGCTGTCACTGCCTTACTAGACAGAGTCTTTCCAGCTTCTGTCTTTGGGTTTATTGCTGCAAAGAGACCCCATGACCACAGCAATTCTTATAAAAGAAGACATTTAATTGGAGCTAGCTTACGGTGTCAGAGGTCAAGTCCATTGTCATGGTAAAGAAATGTGGCAGAGTGCAGGCAGGCATGGTGCTGGAGAAGGAGCCGAGAGAGTTCTACTTGATCTGCAGGCAGCAGAAGGAGCCTGTGTACCACACTGGGTGTAGCTTGAGCACAGGAGACCTCAAAGCTTGCCTCCATCGTTTAAATCAACCTCAGCACCACTGTCTTCCATGCTTCTTCTAGTATGGCACATTAAGCAACACTTAAAGCATTCCACTGCTCTCCTAACCCAAAATCCAAGTATGATCAGGCCTTTTGGGCTGGAGAGATGGCTCAGAGGTTAAGAGCACTGGCTGTGCTTAACCGAAAGGTCCTGAGTTTGATCCCCAGCAACCACATGGTAGCTCACAGTCACCTATAAGGAGATCTGGTGCATAATGAGATCTTGTGTGTACATAATAAATAAATCTTTAAAAAAAATGATTAGGCCTATCACAACGGTGCCCCAGTCCCCAGTGCCAATTCCTGTCTTAGGATTTCATTGCTGAACCTGGAGCCAACAAGCCCTGTCCATCCTTCAGTCTCTGCAGTGCAGTGATTACCACCTGGCTTTTATGTGACTGCCAGGACCTCAGCAAGTGCTCTTATCCACTGAATCATTTTCCCAACTCTCTACTTTTACTATAATTATTTTAAAGTTTTTATATATGTAAATCATTTGCTGGGCATATTCTCCCTCATGCCCTCCTCCTCTTTTTAATATCTAGAGAACACTGAGTAGCAGCAATGGACAAAGTTCAAGAACCAGCTATAAACTCATATCCAAATTTTAATAATTGCAAGTTCAGAGACCCAAAGAAATGTCTAACCACGTAGAAAAGCAGTTACATTCTTTTTATGAGACACATATTTTATGAGATTACTTAATAGCAAATAATGGCTTCTAAGCTGGGGCGCTGGCTTGAATGCCTCTGTGTTGCCCTGAGGCTCAATGCCTTTACAAGAGCCTGTCTCTTCCCCCATCCCCATCTTCTGCAGTGTCTTTGTATATGGCTACTTAGCCTTAACTAGTGTTTCAGAGCTGTCCAGCAGGAGCCACCAGGCATGGCACATGCCTTTAATCCCAGCGTTTGGGAGACAGAGGCAGGAACCTGGTCTACAGCATGAGTTCCAAGACATCCAGGACTACACAGAGAAACCCTGTCTTTAAAAAAAAAAAAAAAAAAAAAAGAGGGGCCTGGAGAAATGGCTTGGAAGTTAAGATCACTGCTCTTCCAGAGTTCCTGAGTTCAATTCCCAGCAACCACATGGTGGCTCATAACCATCTATAGTGAGATCTGGTGCCCTCTTCTGGCTTGCAGGCACACATGCAGGCAAAATATTGTATACATAATAAATGAATAAATCTTAAAAAGAAAGAAAGAAAAGAGAATGCAAGAGCCAGCAAGGTGGCTCAGCATGTATAGGCTCTTGCTACCAAGATTAATGACCTCAGTTTGACCTGGCCCCATGAGGTAGAAGGAGAGAACCAACTCCCACCATTGCTCCTCTGATTCCATATATCTGCATGTACCCACAGAATTGCTTATTATTATTACTAAAATAAATATATGAATAAGAAAAAATTTAAACACCTCCCTAAAGATTGTTTGTTTGTTTGTTTATTGTGCATACGGTATTCTGCCTGCATGCCAGAAGAGAGCATCAGATCACATTATAGATGGTGATGAGTGACCATGTGTTTGCTTGGAATTGAACTCAGGACCTCTGGAAGAGCAGCCAGCAGAAATGCTCTTAACCATTGAGCCATCTTACCAGCCCCCTAGCAAAAATTTTTAAAGTCAAAGAATACGGTGTTTAAATTGTTGAGGTGATTTTCTAATTTGATAATTAGCAAAAAGAGCTTCAGTGTATATTGTGTAAAAAATTGCAGTGTCAGAATTTGTGTACAGTTGCAAATGTGAATAAAATATTTGTTGACACATATAGGAAAAGGTATGTAAAGGCATACCTAAATTGGTTACTTGTGAAGAAAAAGGTAGAAATGATTTTATTTAAAACCTTTCCAGTAATCAGCTATTCAGGAATTAACCTTGTAACCTCAGGGCGCTATGCATGCGTATGTGTATGAAAATAAAATTTGTTTATTAATACTAATATATTATCAATGAGTGTTTTACATGAGTGGCTTCATATCTCTCATTCAAACACCAGTTTTGAATTTTTTAGTGCTTTATACAAAAATCTGTCTATAATCTTTGTAAAACAAGTGTGTTCAATATATTATCTTTTTCTTGATTTTAATCATTAAGAAATCTATTTCTAAAAAAAAAAAAAGAAATCTATTTCTAAATGAAATTCACTAGATTGAACTAAACTTAAATGCAGTAGATCTTCAAGGTGTCCTGCCCCAGGACTCATGTTTTGCATATGCTGCTCTGTACTCTGGCACAGCCTCGTCTTCCCTTTTCTTGTGTGACTCCTGTATTGTCTTCAGGATGCATATATCTCAAGCTCTATGGAGATGCCCTTTCACTTCTCTAGAGATCGTATTTACCACATCTTTTAGAACATCTGCCAACTTACTTGGGTCGTGTGGGTTTGTCTAGTTCTTTGGAGACCTGGAGCTCCTTGAGGGCATGGTCCTTGCATGGGTTTATTATATAGAATCATGAAACTGGAGCAGCTTAAATAAATAGTAATTCTCTCACATAAAAGAAACCAGACTGCCTACAGTGATGCCCCCCCCCCGGAACATAAAATGGATTCAGCTTTTTTAGCTAAATTTTTAAAAATTATTTTAATGTATTTTGGCTACAGATATAAAATTTTAGGTATGTTAGCTGAGAGGAAAGAGGGTCATGAGTTTGAATTCAGTCTAGACTATATAGTAAGACCCTGTCTCAAAAAGAGGGATGGGAATAAAAGTTTTTCCATTAAGATAGGAATAAGAGGGGCTGGAGAGATGGCTCAGTGGTTAAGAGCACTGTCTGCTCTTCCAGTGGTTCTGAGGTCAATTCCCAGCACCCACGTGGTGGTTCACAACCGTCTGTACTGGGATCTGTTGCCACCTTCAGGTATATAGGTGTTCCTGCAGACAGAGCACTCGTATATGTAAAATAAATAAATGTTGTTGTGTTTTGTTTGGTTTTTTTTTTTAAAGATCCGGATAAGATAGAGTAGCTCAAGGCACTTCTTTCCCTGTCCACAGGAAGAAGTGCTGCTGTACCTGCAGTGATCCACCACATACTAAGTGAGCATGGGATGTTCACCCAGACCTAGCCAGAAATTCAGCCTCTTGCTTGAATACTGGTTGGCAATGAGTAGTTGCCTGGACGTGGAGAAGCAGGGATCTGGGGTCCTGATTTCCTGGAAGAGTTGCCTAACTCCCACCCCTTTTGCAGCTTCCTGCTGCCTTTATGAAGTATGTCCAGTTCTTTTCAGGATCTGAGTGTAGTCACTTGACTTTCAACTATAACCTGCAATGCAGTCATTTAGTGAGACAGAGGAGGGACAGATGCCTCTTTCTGTGTGTTGTAATTATCTAGTCTCTTTGCACATTGAACGTGGTTTCTGTTTTGTTTTCTTGATTCTCTTGTTTTTGAATAACAAGTTAGTAAAGTAGATTTCAAATTACTCCATTAATTTTGCTAGACTGTATACATTATCTATGGTGGTTAAGGGACACTGGAAATTGAACCTAGGACCTCCCACAATCTGGACAATCACTCTACCACTCAGCTACATCCTCAGCCTCTTATTCATTCATTCATTCATTTTCTTTTTTAAAGATAGGGGCTCACTAAGTTGCCTGTAGTGATCTTAAACATACTCTGTTCCCAGGCACATCTCTTGAGTTCGAGGACAGCCTAGTCTACAAAGCTAGTTCCAGGACAGCCAGGGCTGTTACACAGAGAAACTGTGTCTCAAAAGACTGATAGGAAGGAAGGAAGGAGGGAGGGAGGGAGGGAGGGAAGGAGGGAAGGAGGGAAAGGAGGGAAAGGAGGGAAGGAGGGGAAGGAGGGAAGGGAAAAGAAAAGAGACCGTTCTGCCCAGCTGCCCAAGTAACTGGGAATGCTCCACCAGGCCTACCTTAGATGTGAATTTACCTTAAAAATAAGCCAGGAGTGTATATGCTAAAATGTTAGCAGCCGTTAACATGTGGACGGTCAGTTGTTTGGGGAGGGCCTCATTATGGTTATGTGCTCATGTGTACCTCTGTAGTTTTATTGTGCCCTTCCATAAGATTACACTTAAGATTACCGTGATCCTAGTGATTTCTATTATATTAAAACTTGTTTCTGTTTTTATTTTTCAGATTAACAAAATACATTGTATTACTGTGTTTAACCAAATGTTTGAAGGCTGTGGGACTTTTTGAATCATATGATCTCCTAAAAGCTGTTCACATTGTGCAGTTTATTTTTATATTAAAACTTGGGTGAGTATGGAGAGGGCCTTAATATTTTTTATTTCTCTGAAGATCCTGTTTTGACTAAGTATCTTTAAAAAATCTTACCTATGTATTCTGTGAAGTTTATTTCTTCTAACAACTATATGATTTTTTTTTTCTTTAAACAGAAGCTTAACATAAGGGTGGATGTACAGAAACCCATCAAAAGGGGGTTTTCTTAGCTAAGTGTATCCACCTATTGTCTCCACACTTGGGAAATTGAAGCCAGCCCTAGTTACAAAGACTGTCTCAAAAATAAAGTGAAAGGAAGTGGTTGAATTCTAATGACTTGCCAAACATAGGCTTTAGTTTATTTTGTATTGCTAAGATTTTTGTAAAGCTTTTTTGATGCTTATCTTAATAGACAGTTTGGTTCTTCTTTGTGTTAGCAATCAGTCTTTTGATGCCTTGTACCATTTAAGCCCATAGGGGAGGGGCCCTCTTTACACACCTAAGAACAACTGTAAAAAAAAAATGGACATGTTGAATTTTTATAAAAATAATTTGACAGGCTGAAGAGATAGCAGTTAGGAGCAATTACTGCCTTGCAGAGGACATAAATTCAGTTCCCAGCATCTACTCATGTGGCTCACACCTGCCTATAATGCCAGCTCCAGACTTGACACTCTTCTGGCCTCTGTGGGCACTGGTACACACATATTGCAGACACACATACACAAAACTGAAAATAAAGTAAATGTTTAAAAAAAAAAAAAGTTTTGATTTTGTACTCTACTCCCTGGGGATATGTACACTATCCACTGATGTAGGTCAGTCTTGAGGCAGTCACAAAACTTATATAAGGCTTGTCTTAGCACAGACATTCCATGTTTCCAGTTAAATCATGCTGTGCTGTGTCCCTGTCTAACACCATCAGAGTACAGGGTCCTGGTGTTCTGTAAACTATACAGTTTGTGTAGTTCTAAGTAGAGATTTTTGGACCTAGAGATTAATAGTAAACTTCCCCGTTGTGTGTTAATAAAAGTCTTATCAAAGACCCTTGAGGGTGTAGTTTGCGGATTCAGGAAAGAGAGTCCTAACTAGAAGAGCTAACCATTTTATATAACTGATAATAAAAAGATGGTGGCATGTTACTGCTACTGGTTCAAGACTTATTACTACGGAATTTAAGAGGAGATGAATTGTTTTCTTTGTTGTCTTAAGTTATTGAAAGCTAAGCATAATATTAGACATATAATATAGGGTAAACATACTAAAATCTGTACGCCTAAAGAACGGTATATACTCACTTACATAGACCTATAAGATATGATAAACTTAATGAAATCTGTACACCTAAAAAAGATAATCAAGAGAGCAGACATGGGGTAAGATGATCAATCCTCATTTAGAAAGACAGATGGGATGTGCATTGAACGTATGACAGGAGTCACTGAGCGCATTTGAAAGACTCTAACTAGCAGTGTTTTCAAAGCAAAGACTCATGACCAAACCTTTGGCAGAGTACAGGGAATCATAAGAAAGAAGGGGAGTTAGTCTGATGGGGAAAGGATAGGAGCTCCACAAGGACCAAATATATCTGGGCATAGGGTCTTTTCAGAGACTGACATTCAACCAAGGACCATGTATGGATATAACCTAGAACCTCTGCTCAGATGTAGCCTGCGGTAGCTCAGTAACCAATTGGTTTCCCATAGTGAGGGGAACAAGGACTATTTCTAACAGGAACTCAATGACTGGCTCTTTGGCCTCCCCACCCCCTCAAGGGAGGAGCAGTCCTGTTAGGCCACAGAGGAGGGCTTTGCAGCCAGTCCTGAAGATACCTGATAAAACAGGATCAGATGAATGGGGAGGAGGTCCCCCCTATCAGTGGACTTAGAAAGGGGCATGGTGGAGAGGAGGGAGGGAGGGACGGACTGGGAGGGAATGAGGGAGCGGGACACGGCTGGGATACAGAGTTAATAAAATGTAACTGGTAAGAAAAAAATAAAATTCAAAAAAAAAAAAAAAAAAAAGAAGTTAAGCAAGAAGGAGGACCCTAAGGAAGATACTCAATCCTCATTCAGAAAGGCAGATGAAAGTGGGAGAAAACAGGGAACAGGTCAGGAGCCTGCCACAGAGGGCCTCTGAAAGACTACCCAGCAGGGTATCGAAGCAGATGCAGAGACTCATAACCAAACTTTGGGAGAGTGCAGAGAATCTTATGAAAGAATGGTGAGATAGAAAGACCTGGAGGGGGACAGGAGCTCCACAAGTTGAGCAACAGAACCAAAAAATCTGGGCCCAGGGGCCTCTGGCAGAGACTGATACACCAACCAAGGACCATGCATGGAGAGGATCTAGACCCCCTGCTCAGATATAGGCCATTGCAGCTCAATCTCCAAGTGGGTACCGTAGTAATGGGAACAGGGGCTGTCTCTGACATGAACTCAGTGGCTGACTCTTTGATCACCTCCCCCTGCGGGGAGCAGCCTTGCCCGGCCACAGAGGAAGACAGTGCGGCCAGTCCTGATGAGACCTGATAGGTTAGGGTAAGATAGAAGGGGAGGAGGACCTCCCCTATCAGTGGACTAGGTGAGGGACATAGGAGGAGAAGAGGGAGGGAGGGTGGGACTCGGGGAAGGCAGGCAGGCAGACAAGCTAAACGTAGTAGTGTATGCCAATAATTTCACTTAGGAGGCTGAGGTTAGAGAATCACACTTTGAAGATCAGTCTGGACTGCATCATGAGACCCTGCCTCTAAAATAAAATCCATCTTGACAGTCATTATTTCTTCTATAGTTATGAACTAGTTCTGAAGACAATTAACAAGGAAGATCCTGATTTTTGCCATGAAAGCTTTATGATAAAGGCAGTCTGTAGTCCCTGAGGCAGTGTCTCTTTGTATCACTAGCTGGCTGACCTGAAACTTGTTCTGTAGACCAGGTTGGCCTCAAACTCACAGAGATCTGTCTACCTCTGGCTCCCAAGAACTGGGATTAAAAGTGTGTAACACTATACCCAGCCTAGAGCAAAGTTTCTTAAATTCAATGTGATGGTCATGAAAAAATTATCACCCAAAGATTAATTCAGAATCAAATGCAGAATGAATCGAGGTGTTTCTGCAGTCTGACGTGGCTGCAGCCTTGTTTCTGCACACAGCATGGCCGCTTTGCACTGTGCATACATCTTGCCATGCAGCGCCAAAGAAGATTTTGAACCACCTTGATTCAAGACTGTTTGAAACTAGTGTTTTGACATCATATACAAAATATTCTACTCTTACAGAATCATAATGGCTTAATTACAGAAAGCGAAGATTTAATAATTTCCTAGTGTCATTCTTGAACATGTTTGTATCAAATTAGTGTATATAAAGATTGTATAAACACATCTATGTCATTAGTATGCAAAATTAGCCATCCTTGTGGCACACACCTTTAACTCTAGCACTCAGGGACAGTGCAGAGGCAAGGGGATCATTGTTAGTTGGAGGCCAGCCTGGTCTGCAAGCAAGTCCAAGGCAACCAAGGCTACAGAAAAACCCTGTCTCAAAAAAATAAATAAATGAAACAAAAAAATCATTAGTTTGCAAATTTGTTTTCATCTTTAAGAAATAGTAAAATTATGTACACCAAAGAATTTAAGATACATTTTTAAAGATAAATTATTTATGATTTGTCAGCAGTAAATGTTTGATTTGTATATATATTTTACATATCCATGTACCACAATAGCATAAAAATATATCAGATGGAAAGGAGGCATAGGTACAGAGTTTTAAAAACATGAGGAGAGCATGTTTTTCATGTATTTGTTAAAACTGCCTTATATTTACTATTAATATGTTACTCTTTCAATGTTTACAGGACTGCATTTTTTATGGTTTTGTTTCAAAAACCATTTTCTTCTGGGAAAACTATTACAAAACATCAGGTGAGATGTTGACAGAACAACTTATTCTTAACAGGTTCCCTTTGGTAGACCAGAATAAGTGCCTTTTTTTTTTTTCTGGGCTTTGCTTCCTGTTCTATGGTTTGGTTTGGCTTGGTTAAGTCTGAGACAGGGTCTCCTGTTCTGGCTTAGACTTGTTGAGCAGCCAAGGAAGGCCTGATCATTTTGCCTCTGCTTCGCCAGGCGCTGCCGTTGCAGGCTTGCACTGCTGTTGCCCATGTGTACAGTGCTGGGCAAGCCTGACAACCAAGCTGCTTGCTCAGCTCTAGGGTTAGCTCACCCTTGACTTTTCAGAGTTGAGGCTCCAAGAATGAACTGTAAAATCTCAGTGTAATGGAATATTTTCAAATGTAGAAAGGGGTAGCAGATTTTAAAGGGATGTGTTGAATGCAGCCTCCTTATTCAAAAGATTCACAGATGAGACATGAAGTCATGCTGGGAGCATAGAGTGTAGAGGGTAGATTATGTGCAGGGGTTGGAAGTGAGGCCCTAAAATCAGTCATATCAAGTTCCGTACTACTTACATGATTTCTCCCGCCTTAATTTGGCTCACTTAGGAAGTGGGGGTAATAGTGTACTGCATCTGTCTGTGAGGAAAAAGCTAACTTAGACATGTAAGGTTTTCAGTTACACCTCGCTGGTGAGTATGCAGTACACATGCACTGTATCACCCTGGTCATCATTGTCGTTCCCTTCAGTGACTTCATGCCAGGAAAGTTTCCGGTTCTGCTTAGTCCACACTGGGGTCAGTTATACTCTACTGCATATCTGTTTCATGGCAGTTAGGGTCCTCTACCATGTTGTCAGCCTGGCTATTTAAGTGCTTCTATTTCAGAGACCAAGGACATCTTTAAAATACAGTTAATCTTTCTAACTCCACCTAAGCTTTTTCTCTATTTTCAAATGTCTGTACCTTAAAAATTGCTTGTGAAAAGCTAAGCATGGTGGCATACACATGTATTGACAACATGCATGAAGTCAAACAAGGAGATCAGTATGAGTTAAAGCAACCTAAGCAGCATGGGGAGACCTTGTTTCAAAAATAAATAAACCCTTAGGTATTGCTGCAAAACTAGTGAAAAAAGTGGGAAACTGTGCTACATAGGAAAAAGAATTAAGAGCTAATAGCCAAGTGTGGTTGTGCATGTCTTTAATCCCAGCAGTAAGAAAGCAGAGGCAAATGGATCTGAGTTTGAGGCCAGCCAAAGCTACATAGTAAGACTGTCTCAAAAACAAAACAACAACAACAAAAAACTGGCAGATGAGAATACAGAAGGGAACCTAGTTAATCAGAGGATCTTGACATTTTCTACTTAATGTTAAAATATATGATATTTAACCTCCAAAATAGTTGTGTTGTTATCATTTTTCCCTCTGGGTTTGTTTGGGTTTGGTTTGGTTTGGTTTGTTTTCCTTAAGACAGGGTCTTCATGTGTTGGGTCTGAGAAACCAGGAACTTACTATGTAGCCTGAAATCACAGAGCTCTGCCTGCCTCTGTCTCCTGTGTGCAAGAATCAAAGGCATGCCCCACCATACACTGCCTCCTTGTACATTTTATTTAAGCATGAAATACCTAGTGGCAAATAAATATGACTGAAGTTTTTTGTTGTTTCTGTTATAGTGGATCAAAATATTTAAACATGCAGTTGCTGGATGTATCATATCACTTTTATGGTTTTTTGGCCTTACTCTTTGTGGACCACTAAGGTAAATAAAATATGTATTTTTCTCTATTTATTTACATTTCTTCATTTGAGTTAATTTTGTTCTGTATTTATTTTTCAGTATTTGTCTGCACACATGTGAAGGTCAGAGGGCTTGGGGGAGTTAGTTCACACTTTCCACCATGTGGGTCTTGGGGATCAGGTTTGGCAGAAAGTGCCTTTATTCACAGAGCCATCTCACAGTCCTTTCTTCCATATTTTATGTCAGAAATTTACTTACACAACTGTTTATTTCACTTCTATAGCACTGAATACATTTCAACATAGATGAACCAGTTTAGTCTGTGGGTAAATACTGTTAATATATGTATTAACGATCTATCATAGATATTTTATTGGCTAAGATCCAAAAAATTCAGATGAAGAAGCTTAAAGATCTGAAATGGAAAATGAAATAAACCAATAAAGATGAGACATCATGAAAGGTGCTCTTTTTTTTCTCTTAACCCTGCAAATACACTCGTAAATGCAGGTTTCAGAGTAGTATGCCATCATCAGACCTTTAGGTCTGAAGAATGAAGTAGGCTGCTCTCCTTTCTCTTAGCTCTGTGTAGAGAATCTTTGTGCATATGGGGCAGCTTAGGGGAGAAATGCTTAAACATAACTTAATAGACATGGAAACATGTACAACTCAGTCTAAGGTTTTTTGTTTGGTCTGGTTTTTGTGTGTGTTCTCTTGGCTTTTGGAGACAGGGTTTTTCTGTGTAACAGCTCTGGCTAGATGTCCTGGAACTCCCTTTGTAGATCAGGCTGGCCTCACAAATCCACCTGCGTGTGCCTCCCAAGTGCTGGGATTACAGGTGTGCACCGCCACCACACCCAGCTTTTTTTTTTTTATTGTCTCTACAAGGTGTTAGCAGGAAAGTATAAGAAAAGTTGCCTTGCTTTTGCCTTTGGTTAGGGAGAAGTGTAGAGAAGAGACCTAAGGGTTGTAAAGCATCTCCATCAGAATAGTGAGGATGGATGGTGTTGAGGGAGGAGAAAGGCTTCTGGTGGTCAATAGAGAACCTTTTGGACCGGGAGTTCATTGGTGTATTCGCCCTGTGCTTTTCAGATGCACTGTGTAGCAGCCACATCCTAGAGGAATGGGAAGGTTGGCTGAATTTCTCAACTTGGGTAGAGTCTTTTCGGTTTGTGCTTGATCATAATTGAGTGCTATTATTGGCCACTATATTTTAACTTTCCTATTCATGAAATTATGTTTTAGTTCATATTACTAAATCCCTGTACCTTAAGATACAGATGGAAAGGGAAAATATTTAGCTTAGTCATCTGCTTCCTGCCTTACACCCTTACCATCACCCACACTGCCTTTCTCTACCTTTTACTAAAGTCATGAAGTTATAGTCAGTGAATTTTGATTACAGACTTGAGTAAAGAAGAAAAATGACTCATTTAACTAACAGAGCTGGAAATGGGTTAATATTTTAGACTAAGACTCGTTTTCATTGATTTGGGGTCTCTGTTTTTTGGCTGTCCTGGAGATTGACACTCACTAGACAATCTACCTCTGAACTGCATCTCTCTTCAGCCACTTTTGAGTCAGGGTGACTTAGTCTTTTTTTTTTTTTTTTTTTTTTTTTTTTTTTTTTTTTTTTTTTTTTTTGTTTTTTTTTTTTTTTTTTTTTTTTTTTTTTTTTTTTTTTTTTTTTTTTAACAGGGCCTTACTGTGTAGCTCTCACTGACAGACCTGCAACTCACTGTGTAACAGACTATCCTCATACTCAGAGCAATCCACCTGCCTCTGCCTCCAGAATGGTGTAACTAAGGGCATATGCCACCACACCCAACCTAATTTTTTAATGACGTATTTCCATATAAAATACAATGAATATAGAAAAATGTTTTAAGTTTATTTCTTACTTTTATTTACATGTGTGTGCCACATGTGTGGGTGCCCATGGAGGCCAGATAAGAGTGTCACTTCCTCTGGAACTGCTTCACATGGGTGCAGGGCACTGAATTTGGGTCGCCTTGAAGAACAGCAGATAATGTAACTGCTGAAGCACTTTCCAGCCCCTGCTTGTTTTTATTTGAGGCATAAGTGTACCCCTGAGTGTATGAAGGTACACCACATGCATTTGGGGACCTGAAGAAGTCGGAAAGGTGTCAGATGGCCTAAACTGGAGTTCCAAGTGGTTGTGCACTCGTGTGGGTGCTTGGAACCAATCCAGGGCCTTTGTAAAAGTGGTTGCCCATTTAACACAAGTATGTTTTAAGAAGAATCCAGGCCCTGATCTGGGAAGCCTCCCTTTGTAAGGCATGGTAACACATACCTAAAACTCCAGCACTTAGGAGGCAAAGGCATGTTGATCTCCGTGAGTTGAGACCAGCCTGGTCTACATAGAGAAAGTTCCAAGACAGCCAGAGCTACGTAGTGAGACTCTGTATTGAAGAAGAAAAAAAAAAAAAAGTAATTCACTTACCTTAAAATTCAGCTTTTCAGAGTGTTTACTTCAGAGCTGGGCATAGTGGGCTTTGTGCTGGCCACCTCAGCAAATTGGAAGACTGAGACAAGATCACTTCATCCAAGGAGCTGGAGGATAGCCTGGGCAGCATACCAAGATCCTCTCAAAAACAACAAATTTAATGCGTACTTTACTATTTTTTTTTTTTTTGTATACTTATAAAATTTCATTCATGTCTACTCCTGCATCAGTTCATCAAATAGAAATATTCCATTGACGGGCTCAGTGGCTAAGAGCAGGGGCTGCTCTTCCAGAGGTCTTGAGTTCAATTCCCAGCACCCACAAGGTGGCTCACAGCCAACTGTAATGGGATGCCTTCTTTTGATATGCATGAAGACAAAGTGCTCATATACATAAATGAACATTGAAAAAGAAACATCCCATTGATATTGCTCATTCTCCTACTAGTGAATAAGTTGCTTCCAATTTGGGTCTCCTATAATCAATGCCAGTAAGACCACACATTTTTTAAGACTTATTTATTTTCATGTTACATGTGTGTTTTGCCTGCATGTACGTGCACCTCGTTTGCCTAATGTTTGCAGACACCAGAAGAGGGTATGGCGTCCCCTGAAACTGAAATTGCAGTTTGATGCTGGGAACCAAGCCTGGGACCTCTGCAAGAGCAGAAAGTGTTCTTAAACACTGGCCCATCTTCCAGCCCACCAACAAACTTACTAATTATTTGCAAATACACACAAGAAGTCTAAAGGGCTGGAGAGTTGCCCCAGTAGGTAAAGTGCTTGCTACACAGCTATGGTGGCCTGAGTTCAGGTGCCCAGCAGAGTCAAGTGTGGCAGTGCTGTGGTGCTCAAGAGAGGCAGTTCCTGGGGTTTCCTAAACAGCCAGTCTAGCTGAAAAAGAAAACTCTCCATTAAGTGGGAGACCCTGTCTTAAAAAATGGAGAGCAATTAAAAAACGGTGTAATCAGCTGCACATTGGTGGCACCTGCCTTTAATCCCAGCAGAGGCAGGCAGATCACTGTGAGTTCAGGAGGCCAGCCTGGTCTAGAGTGAGTTCCAGGACAGTTGGGTCAGTTATAAGAGAAACCCTGTCTCAAAGAAGCCATAATTGTATAAAGAGCAATGGAAGAAGATACCCAAAGTCAACCTCAAGCTTCTGTGTGCACACACACATCACATATGCATGACTGAAATCTGGGCCAGCGGGATGGCTCAGAGGGAAATGGACATGCTGTGCAGGCCAACATCATGAAGTTGATTTCCAGATCCAGTGATAGGAGGAGAAAACTGATTGCTGAAAGTTTTCCTCTGTCCTCCCCAATAAACTGTGAGACAGTAAATAACAATTTTTAACAAAAAGATGATGTATTTTCAAAACATGTTTTAAATGACATAATTCCAAGATTGAAGATTGTTATTTTCATGTATTTGGAGCCTCATTCTTTCTAAGGCAATTGATACCAAAATGTTTTCCAAGGGAGTTGTCCATATTTATTTTTCTCATGTTTTGTGAAACGAAGGGGTTTTCTTTTCTCTTACGCTTAACTAAGTTCATGCTCCTGAAAAAAGTCAAAAACATTTCTGAATGGTGTTTTATTTTCATAGGACGTTGCTGCTGTTCGAACACAGTGATATTGTCATTATCTCACTACTCAGCGTTTTATTCACGAGCTCTGGAGGAGGGCCAGCAAAGGTAGACTTGTTCGTCATTGTTACTTAACAGGTGTTAAACATTACTCATAGCAAAAAACAAATCGTATATTTTACCATTTATAATAATGAAGAAGCAATGCTAGCTTAACATTTTTCTTACAAAAATGTTTTTATTTCATTTTGATGTGATTATAGATTCTTAGAACAATGTGAAAACATTACAGACATACTTTCCAGTCAGTTTTTCCCAATGGGGACTTAGAGGTTGATATTAGTATAACCCATGCTAAAACCCTTCATTCAGGTCTTGGCAGTGTTACACTTGTGTTTGTAGATTCTATAAGCACCTCTATAACCAAGATGGAAAACTGACATACCACCGGTAAAGATCTCCTTCATGTGGTGCCCATAGCTCTCTGCCTTAATCTTAAGTTAATATAAAAAGCCTGTGAGGGAATGAGGGCGAGGGGTACAGCTGGGATACAAAGTGAATAAACTGTAATTAATATAAAAAATAAAAATTTAAATTAAAAAAAATTCTGCCCATGGTGCATTGGCCTGCAAGTTGTCACCTGATTCCATAGCACTTGCATTCCCTCCCTCTACCACACAAATTAACTGAGTGTAATTCCTAACAAGAGACTTTGAGGCCAGCGGCACTACATAGCAAGACTGTCTTTACAGTCAAAAAGAAAAGGCAGCAGAGAAGGGGGGAGGGATGTGAAAGGAAATGGGGGTTAAGGGAAAGGAAAATTTTAATTGTATAGGTTTTTCGTGTATGTTGCCTTTTGCCATAATGCACACCACACTAATAATTTATCGAGTGTAATGATGGTCATATACTGAATAGACTAGTATTCTGTTTTCACTGGAGATTTTTATTTACTTGAAGTATTATAGTTCCATTGCTAAGTGCACATATTTTTATATAGTATGAAATATTACATCTAAGTATAAATATTATGTAGGAAATACTTAGAAATTTACAAATACCAAGTTATAGTAAGAATATATGAGGTTTTTATATCTAACATTATTAAATACTTACACAAACTAGAGTTATAACTTTCTGTTATTCTTTTTTTTTTTCCCTGCAATGAGAACATTTAAAAAGTTTATCAGGGCACTAGAGATATGGCTGAGTGTATAAGAGCACTTGCAGTGAAAGCAAGAGGACCTGAGTTCAGGTCCCAGCACCCATGTGAAAACCAGGCCTGGATATGTATGCCTGGAACCTGGATAAACAGGTCCTGGGCCAGTCTAGCCAGCCTGCCTACTTAAAACACCAACTTCAGGTTCGTTGAGAGACCCTATCTCAAAAAAATAGGGTGGAGGGATGAAGATTGCTTGGTAGTTCAGAGGCCTGGAATTTGGTTTCCAGCAACCCCTCTGGGTAGCTCACAACTGCATGTGACTCCAACTCCTGGGGATCTGACACCCTCTTCTGGTCTCTTGAGGGCCCTGCATTTATGTGTACAATACCTACACACATACACATAGTCAAGAAGCAAACATTTTTTAAAAACACAGCAGCAGAGTTTACCAGATGCCTTCCTCATGCTTGCACACAGCCACCATACACATATATAACACGCCTACACAGTTCACTATCTTAGGAATGACTTAATTTTTTCAGTATGGCTTCATGAGCCTTTTTCCCAAGAGGAGCACTGTGATAGACTATTCTGTTTCTTAAATGTTGTAGAATTCAGTACAGCTCTACCAGTTACTGTTCCTTAGCTACTGAGGTCTTTTCAACCAAAAATTAAGAAGCTTATCTCTGTAAGCCCTCATGGCTGGTCCAGATTAATATGCCTACTCACATTTAGAAGGAGGTAATTGCTAACACTATATGCTTGGAAAACTCTTAAAATATATCTGGGCACAGTGGCACACACCTGCAACCCCAATTCTCAGGGAGGCAGAGGCACAAGGATCTCTGACTTTGAGCCCAGCCTGGTATACAAAGCAAGTAACCTTACTGTCTCGCCAAAAAAATAAAAATAGCACTCTTAAAGTACTCTGGATAATTTATTTCTGTAGCTTACTATTATACTATAAAGGTATGTAAAAATGATTATACCAGGGTGTTATTTTTCATTAAATGTTGATACATTATTTTAATGTTCCTCTCAAGCCATGCTTGGTGGAACATGCCTGTACTCCTAGCACTCAGGTGGCCTAGGCAGGAGGATTGTGCGTGCAGTCCTGGGCTGCACAGTGAGATCCTGTCTCAAAGGTAAAAAGGAAAAACATTTTCCTCCAGCATTTGTGTGGTTAGTGTGCTAAGAGTTAACCTTTAAAAAATACAAAAAACAAAACTTTGTCTCTTTCTTCTCTTTCAGACAAGGGGAGCTGCTTTTTTCATTATTGCTGTGGTCTGTTTATTGCTTTTTGACAATGATGATCTCATGGCTAAGATGGCAGAACACCGTATCCTTTTGCTCCAGACTGGGGTTACCTAAAGTCTGGGTGAAAAATAGAAGCTGGCAGAATGGGAAAAGGTAGAAGGGAATTAAACTCATCAGTCACAATGACACTTTCATAGGCTCATGTTGATGTCCTTAGTCAATATTGAAATGAGTAATCAATTCATTCCTACTTGAAGATCTTAAAGTATCCTCAGTATGTTTCTAGGGTTCGTATTTTAGAATGCCCTGATGCAGAAGACAACAAACACTTAAATCCCTTTGCCCGAGATTTTACTCTCTTGCCCAGAATCACTCTTATCAGCTCAGGCTGGACTTTCTCAAGTATATATACGCTCTACTCTGTCATCTCCCTTATTCTTTCCCAGTCACACCCCTGTCTACTCTCCTGTACTCAAAGTATCAGTTTTCTTCTGAGTACTGATACCTAGTATCCTGAGGTTTATTAGTAAACTAAAAGCAGTTTCCTTTGTTACACTGAGGTGGGGCAGAAAAGGCTCCAGATTGCTTGTGATACATGTCCTTCCGACACCCTCCTGTTTATTGCTCACTTTGCTGGGGCCTGTATGGTCAGCAGTGTAAAGAAGACAAGTTCAAGACTGATTCAACTGACTGACCTGAAGGTGCAGCCTTAACCCCACCGGACAGGTGTAGACCAAGGCCATGTCTTGATGCATACCCATTCGGGAAGCTAAGAACCAGATGTAGTTACTGTCTTAAGCACAGTCATCATTGGAGACAGCAGTACACACAGAAGCCAGGCATGGTAGCATACTCTTTAAACCCATCACTAGGGAGGCAGGGCAGGATGTCAGGAGCATCTTTGGCTGTGTTTTAAGGCTCTGGCTCAAAAGCCAACTGGGGGGAAATGGAAGAAAAATAAAAGAAGCATAGACCATTCCAATTTATAAATTATGTTTTTAGAATTAAGCTAAATTGTTTTGTTTTCAAGAGTAACATGTTACTAAGGATAGTTGAGTTTGGCATACCCAGACTAGTGCGTTTTCAAAATAAAGTAGCTAAAATTTCAACAGAACTTTAGCTTTGGGAGTTGAGATTTAGAAGTATTTTCCTTCACTCCAATGTCCTCAGCGGAAGGACATCATGACAGTGCGCTGACTCACATGCTTTATACAGCTATTGCCTTCTTAGGTGTGGCGGATCACAAGGTATCTTCTCTTTGCTGCAAATATGATTGAAAAGGCCACAGCAAGTATAGCTTTGGGGGTTAAGGGCAGAGTCTCATGTAACTCAGGCTGTCCTAGAACTTGATATGTAGCCAGAGATGACCTTGAACACTTAATCCTCCTATCTCCACCTCTAGGCATATGCTACCATGGAATTTATAATTTTTAAATTTCATCTATACCTAACACATGCCTTTACTCCTAGCACTGAGGAGGCTGAGATAAGAGGATCTCCAGTTCAAGGCCAGCCTAGGCTACATCATCAGTACTGTCCAAAAATATATATATTTATTATCTCAGTACTGGAGAGATCGCTCAGCCATTAAGAGCTCTTGCTGCTCTTCCGCAGGACTCATTTCACCCTCTCACCCATATGGCAGGTCACAGCCATCTGTTACTCTAGTCCCAGGGAATCCAGTGTACCAGGCATGCTGGGGGTGCACGACATACATGGAGGCAAAACACCCATGCATATAAAACTTTTAAAACACTAAAATAATTTATCAGAGTATAGTTGCTTCTCAACCCTTTCAAGGACAGAGTGTATAGCTCAGCGGTAGAAATGTTTGCCTATCGTGGGCTAGGAACCAGATCAAATCCCTAGCACTGTAAAATTAATAATAAAATTATCACTAAATTTAAAACACTCCCTGCCATTCAAGTAAAATAGTTGAGGATATTAGGGGGGAGCAGTTCCATTTCTTCATATATATAATCAAGAATTAAACAGTGGGTGCTGAAGATACAGCTCGGTGCTTATGAATGCTTATTGCTCTTGCAGAGGACCTGTTCCTCTGCTTGCCTGGCATGTACTTGGTACTAGGTTCAGTCCTCAATACTGCCAGGTGTGGTGGCACATTGAAAGGCAGACAGCTCTCTTGACTTTGAGGCTAGCTGATCTACACAAGTTCCAAGTCAGCTACAGCCGCATAGTGAAGCTTTGTCTCAAAATTTTGTAAATAAATAATGTAAATCTACAAGAAGTTGAATATATTAGCATATGTTTTTAATGACTCTTCTTGTCTCACTCACAGGGCGGAGTACTTTTGCTGGTGCTGGCTTTATGTTGTAAAGTTGGGTTTAGCACAGCTTCTAGAAAACTCTCTATAGATGTCGGTGGAGCCAAGCGCCTTCAGGCCTTATCCCAGCTTGTTTCTGTGTTTCTCTTGTGCCCGTGGGTGATTGTTCTTTCTGTGACGACTGAGGTAAGAATGAGAGTTGTTGGTAACAAGCAAAATGAGTCACTATTAGAAAGAAATTTCAGTTCAGAATTGTTTAATTTGAGGTTGACAATGACATAAATTATCCTTGCTTTTTCTTTAGTTTTAATTGGAGTTAATTTTAATTGTTTATAAAAATGTAAATCAGATATGATTACACTTGTGTATACTTCATATTCCTATGGCCCAAAGGAAAAACCCAGTTAGTGGTCTTGAGCTCATAGATTTTGGCTGCTTAGTATTTGTAAAATTAACAGGAGTGAGGTTTTGTTGTTAGTACCCTGGAGAATACTTGGGACACATGCTGTGAATCCTTTTTTTTTTTTTTTTTTTTTTGTGACTCTTACATTTTGTGAATCATATTGATTAACAGAAACATCTTATAAAATCTGAACTTTCTCCATAGAGTACTGATTGCGCGTTGTGTTTGTGTTTTTCATTTTTAGAGTAAAGTTGAGTCTTGGTTTTCTCTCATCATGCCTTTCACCACAGTTATATTTTTTGTCGTGATCCTGGATTTCTATATGGATTCCATTTGTTCAGTCAAAATGGAAGTTTCCAAATGTGCCCGCTATGGATCCTTTCCCATTTTTATAAGTGCTCTCCTTTTTGGAAATTTTTGGACACATCCAATAACAGACCAGCTCCGGGCTATGAACAGAGCAGCACACCAGGGGAGCACAGAGCATGTCCTGTCTGGAGGAGTAGTAGTGAGTGCTGTGTTCTTCATTTTGTGTAAGCATCTGCCCTTGTTTTTATTAACTTATTTTTATAGTTGCTGATGTTTAAGAAATTTTTAAAGATTTATTTATTATGCATACAGTGTTCTGCCTGCATGTGCACCTGCATGCCAGAAGAGGGAACTGATGGTTATAAGCTACCATGTGGTTGTTGGGAATTGAACTCAGGACCTTTAGAAGAGCAGCTAGTGCTCTTAACCTCTGAGCCATCTCTGCAGCCCCAATTTCTGATGTTTAAGCCTTCAGTTTAGATATTCTTCAGTGCTTGCATTTTAGTACTTGCTGATAGTGCCCAAATTGATGGCTTAACCGTTCAAAACTTGTATAATCTTCTCCTTTTTTCTCTTTGTAGCGGCCAACATCCTATCATCTCCCTCTAAGAGAGGACAGAAAGGTACCCTTATTGGATATTCTCCTGAAGGAACACCACTCTATCACTTCATGGGTGATGCTTTTCAGCATAGCTCTCAGTCGATCCCTAGGTTTATTAAGGAATCACTAAAACAGATTCTTGAGGAGAGTGACTCTAGGCAGATCTTTTACTTCTTGTGCTTGAATCTGGTAAGAGTTTTAAATATTAGTGCTGTCTTTTTAAAGCACAATGTTTTTATTTTGACAGGGTGTATAATTTTAGTGCTGCACAAATTCCTAACAAAGATGGGCTAAAATTTTTCTCTAATTAGTAGTGAAGCTCCTATTCAAAAGAGGCAAACAGTCTTTGCACTGTTGTAGAAATAGTGGCTCCATATGCTGTCTACAGTTGCTTGTAAGAGGTAGAGTTACCTCTTAATATGATGTCAGTACCTAACGCTGATGCTGACATTCTAGAGCCTCGTTATTGATTCCTACAGACATATAAAACAGTGCCTTTTGATTTACAAAATGGATATATATATGATTAGCTTAGTTCCTTATAATCTATATGAAATACAGTTTCCAGCATTAGGATTTTAAGCACATCATCAAAGAAGGTTTGGGTAATTAAAAGTTAAATTCTTATGATTAAAATCTAACAATTCTCTGTGGCCATGTGTTTCTCAATATACTCCTCCCATAATTTTTTAAACCTCTTTAGCTTTTTACCTTTGTGGAGTTGTTCTATGGAGTGCTGACCAATAGTCTAGGCCTGATCTCAGATGGCTTCCACATGCTCTTTGACTGCTCGGCTTTGGTGATGGGACTCTTTGCTGCCTTGATGAGTCGATGGAAAGCAACCCGGATTTTCTCTTATGGGTAGGTACACTATCAGGGCACTCGACTTCTTTAATACAATGCAGATTCCATCTTCAGAAACAAAATTGTGTTATTTCCAGTACAGGTGATTTCAGATCTTCAGTTTTATGTCATTTGAAGTTGGTTGGGAATACAGGTACACATTTAATTAATTCTGAATGGCAGTCAGCTCAAGATTATTCTCCCTAACACATTTGTTTAAAGGCAAAGAGAAAAAAAGTACCACCTAAAAATATTTGCATTTTTGTTCAGCATGTTTCTTTTTGTAATGAAATATTCATGGCCATTCACACCTCTTTTTTGTTAAAAGTATTCAAAGGGACTATTACCAACAATTCAGCAAATGTTATAATCTCTTTTGTGTAAAAAGCATTTTAGAAGATGTGAATAAATCCACCTTTTATTGATTATGTTTTGAAATTTTTGTGTGGTTTTGTATGGTTTTAAGATTTTTGTTTTATTTTGTATGTTGAGTGTTTGGCTACATGTATGTGTGTATACCATATGCGTGCCTGATATCCACAGAGGCCAAAAGAGGCAGTCAGATCCCCAGGATCCCTGGGTTCTCTGCAAAAGCACCAAGTGCTTATAACTTCTGGGCCATCTCTCCAGACCCAGTTGTTTACATTTTGGAAAGTGAATGAACCAGATTTGGTACAGAAGAAAATTTGTGCACCATGAGATATGCTTGACACATCTGAAGTTTATATAGAGAGAGAAATAGTTGTTAAAAAAAAATTAGACAAGGCTTTTTGTAAGGATGCATAAAGTTGTATATGTAAAATTTCAAAATATTTGGAATGACTTTTGAATAGTATTTTTAAGTTTTGATTTTTTTTTTTACATTATTGTATATTTAGTATGAAAAACTAGGACTTGTGTCCTCACTATAAGTTTATAATCTTTATATTTTTAAAATACTTGTCAGTCTTTCTTTCTAAAAAGTATTGTGTGTTTTTTAGGTATGGCCGGATAGAAATTCTCTCTGGATTAATTAATGGACTTTTCCTGATAGTAATAGCTTTTTTTGTGTTTATGGAGTCAGTGGCTAGATTGATCGATCCTCCAGAACTAGACACAAACATGTTGACAGTAAGTCTTTTTCTTTTTCTTTTCCTGCTTAAGCTTTTACTCATACTCATAAGGAAGGCTCTTCCATACTGAGGGTTAAGTTGTAGCTATTGATCTAGAGCAGTTTTAACTTTGTTTAAATCAACAAAACTTCCATTCTTAGTACATTGTCTCTCTTTTACACTGTTTCATCTTCTGCAGTTTTGTATTTATTTTGAAAATTTTTAAATTTTTCAAATTAAATTACAAATTTTGAAAAAAAATTTAAATAAATATAAAGTTTTAAATCATTTTTAGGCAGGCTATGGTGATGCATGCCTTTAATCCCAGCACTTCAGAGATAGTCAAGAGAACTCTAGCTACTTTATTACATTGCATTGTTATAATGATTCTATTTTATTACTGTTGTTGGTGTGCCTGACTTGTACTTTATCATAAGTGTGTATATGTAGAACAAAACACAGCGTCCTGTATGGACTGGTTTGGTGCCGTCCAGAGCTTCAGGCACACATTGAGGTCTTACAGCATATGCCCCAATGATAAACAGAGATTGCTATGTTCATTGTTAGTGCAGACTCTTAGAAATTAATTCTTTTCTCAAATGTGTTAGACAAATATAAGGTTATATTATAAAACTCATAATTAGTATTTTTTTTTCAAAATTGTATTTTTAAATACCTGAAGGCATTTTTACAATGTTAGAGGTAAAATCAGAGAATAAAAATTGTACAGGTTTTGCCCAATAGATTATACAGCTATGATAACAACTTTTAGTTTCCTATCCCTAGCCATTTTTTATGTTGTTTCTTGGCAATAGCATGTCCATCCTTCACTCTGCCCTTCTGATTGCTTTGAGATGTTGCTTGCATGTGTCTTCTGTGGGGATGCTTTCCCTCAAGGCCACTCGTCTCTCAATCTTCACAGTCTCTCGGATCTTCCTCTCAGTATCACTGTTGTGTCTTATGCAGACTCCTTTTAGCAACACTGACTTATTGTTGCTGTTTAGTAATTCATTCTTCCACAACTAAGATGTGTTTTTAGACCCTGAGTTCTGTATCGTTAACTCTTTAATGCTGGCACTTGAATTTTTAATTATGTGTATGGATGTTTTGCCTGCATGTATGTATACAACACATAACATGCCTCGTGCCCATGGAGGCCAGAGAGGGCATGAGGTCCCCTGGAACTGGAGATTAAAATGGTTGCCACCAGGTAGGTCCTGGGAATTCAACCCTGGTCTGAATTAAACTCTGGAAGAGCAGCCAGTGCTCTTGAACTGCTGCCCTCTAGGACAGTTCTCAAATCACTGAAAGTAGCTTGGAGTTTTAGTTCAGTTGTACAACTGAAACCAAGTATATGCGTGTTTGTCTGTTTTTGAGACATGGTCTCACTGTGTAGCCCTGGCTGGCCTAGAATTCACAGAGGTCCACCTGTCTATGCTTCCTAAGGGCTGGGATTAGAGGTATGTGCCACCATGCCCCACCAGGATCTGCCATTCTATGTCACTTAAATTCTTGTACCAATTTTTTTCTGGTATTTGAAAGTTAAAATGATCCTTCCAGAATACTTTACAAGTCACATTTTTAACATTATAGATTTAGTTGGGAAACTTAGGTATACTATAAGTAGTTTTTAAACTCTTACATAGAAACACATATAATAATTGTGTATTAACTTCTAATAGCAACTTTTTTTTTTCCAAGCTTCAAAATTCAAGCTTTTCTTTTCTCCTTTTTGCTAGCCAGTTTCCATTGGAGGGCTGATAGTAAACCTTATTGGTATCTGTGCCTTTAGCCATGCCCATAGCCATGGCCATGGAGCTTCTCAAGGAAACTGTCACTCATCTGATCACGGCCATTCCCACCATTCTCATGGACACAGTGATCATGGTCACAGCCACGGATTCACAGGTGGAGGCATGAATGCTAACATGAGGGGTGAGTCCTTATGAAGTACTGAGCTGCTTTTCGGCTGTCTCCTGAGTTGATGCTCTTACTTGTGTTTATTAAACATTGGCTTTCTGGTGTCACCGCTCAACAGGTGGTGGGACCTGAGAAAATGAAGCAGACCTAAGTCTCATGCAGTAGCCAACTTTATTCAGAGCCTTAGGCAATTTATACTCTGAGAGTTAAGAAAGGTCACATGGAGACTGGAGAGATGGTTCAATTCCTAGTACCCACCTAGCAGCTCACACCTGCTTGTAACTCCAGTTCTAGGGCTCCAACACTTCACACAGGCATACATGCAGGCAAACACCAGTGAATATAAAATAAAAATTAAAAAGAAAGGTCACAGGAGTAAAGTTCTCAAGAGTTCAAGCTGTAGACAATCACAAGGACTAGCTGCATGTGGCAAACACATGTTTTTCCATAGAGGCCTAGAAAGGGTTGTATGGACATGTAATTGAATAACATCAGCAAGCAATAGTGAGTAATCTAAACTCACTCCTGTCCATACACCTGGGGGGAGTGCGAAGACTCATTCCAGGAACAGTTCCATGTCTGGAAGAAACTGAGGCCAACAAGACTCTTGTTTTCTGGGAATGTTCTCTCAAGCACTCAGCATTGTCCTCACAACCATGTGCCAACATTCTGGTACAGTTGTTACTCAGGAATGTTTGAAAGACAGCTAAGATTATAGCTCAGTGAAAGGCTTGCCTAGCATGCCCAAGGCTCCCAGCACGGGAAGAAGAGGGAAGAGGGACTCTGTAAAGTGTGACAATGTGGATAAACCTAGAGGGCATGGTGCTCAGTGAAAGTTCACCACAGAAAGACAGTTATCTGGTGATTCACTTACACAGGACAAAACTCAGACTCAGCATGGAATGGTAGCTGGGAAGAGGGGTAAGGGCAGTCTGCTTGTTGGGCCTGATGTTCCCATTAATGAGTGGTTCTGAAAATCTGTGAAACTCTGTGCCTGTGGGCAACGATGATGTATTACACCATGAAAAGTAGGCAAGAGGACAGATCTCGTGTTCACTTCCCAGTAAAGTCATTTAAGAAGGAAATGAAGGAACTAGAGATGTTTTTCAGTTACATAGCAGTTGCCTACCACATATGCATAAATATCCATGTTTAAACTGCTATAAGTATAGTCTTTTCATATATACGGCAGGATATTTTGGTTGCAAGGGAAACACTTTAGTGAACCATTAATGAACTTTCCTGACTGACAAAACAAGAAATGTTTGTTATACTATAAAAATAATTGAGATATGTTCATCTCTTTTGGTATTGAGTCATTGATACCAATTGTTTAATGTTAGTAATTTAGGTAATGTCAAAACATGGCTCAAGGGAGCTGTTACAGTGAATCAGGTAAAGGGTCTTGCTGACCAGTGACACAAGCCTGATGGCCAAAACCCAAAACTTAATCCCTGTAACTCATGTAAAGGTGGAAGGAGGAATCCTGTTCCATAAAATAGCTTCTGACCACCACATACCTAGGTCATATACACCCAGTAATAAATACATATTTTTTCAAAGAATAATTTTATTTTAAAATTTTGTAGGAAGTAACCTTTAAGAACATGCTTTTTCCAAATACAAACTTGATTGCATTATTTTCTAAAAGATCCTTCTGAAAAGATTATGAAAAATACTCCCATTCTTTTAACTAGTGGTACAGCTTTTTTAAAGATAGAGTCTCACTGTAGCTCTGGCTGTCCTGGAACTCTCAGAGATGTGCCTTGCCTTTGCTTCCTGAGTGCTGGGATTAAAGGTGTATGCCACCATGACTGGCAATAGATAAAATTAAAATATATATATTGGTCAGAGGCTTAGTACATAGCTCAGTAGTAGAGCTGTTACTTACACATGCAAGGCTCTGAGTGCAAGGGGAAAAAAAGCAAAGAAACTTGCTTCAAGCATGATCTTTTAGGAAGCCCCAGGCAGAGAATACTGTGTTAAGCTTAGCACACTGTTGTCATTGTTGCCTACACCCTTACATATTCTCTGCTCTCAGTTCCTTGACAGTGACCATGCTTTCTCATTTTGAAGGGCCTGGTACTAAGAGGCACCAGCGATACTGCTAGATTGGGTGAAAGAGCTAGATGAACTTGAATTTCTTATGTCCTTAATGTTTTATTTGTAGGTGTATTTCTCCATGTTTTGGCAGACACACTGGGCAGCATCGGTGTGATTGTTTCCACAGTTCTTATAGAGCAGTTTGGATGGTTTATTGCCGATCCCCTGTGTTCTCTTTTTATTGCTGTGTTAATATTCCTCAGTGTTATCCCACTGATTAAAGATGCCTGTCAAGTTTTACTTCTGAGACTACCACCTGAATACGAAAAAGAACTGCATATTGCTTTAGAAAAGGTAATTTCCTCACTACTTACTCTATTCTGTACAAATAGCACTTAAAGTTGAATAAATTGATCTAACAAGTACTATGCAACATATAAGTTAATGAAATACAGTTTAACTTTAAGAACATAAAATAGAGCCAGACTTAGTGGAATAAGCCTGTAATCTCAGTTGTTCTGTAAGATGATCAAAGTTGAAGGCCAGCCTGGGCGACTGGAGAAATGGCTCAGCAGTTAAGAAGGCCTGGGTCAATTCTCAGCACCACATGGTAGCTCACAACTGTTTGTAACTCCAGTTCCAAGGATCCAGCACCCTCACACAGACATACCCATAGGCAAAATACCTGTGCACATCAAATAAAAATAAATGAATCATTAAAAAAAGAAAAAGTGGGGGCTGGAGAGATGGCTCAGAGGTTAAGAACACAGGCTGTTCTTCCAAAGGTCCTGAGTTCAATTCCCAGCAACCACATGGTGGCTCACAACCATCTATAATGAGATCTGGTGGCCTATCCTGGTACACAGGCACACATGCAGGCAGAACACTGTATACATAATAAATAAATAATTTTTAAAAAAAAGCGCTTGAGAACAAAGTAAATGAACAATATAGAATTAACTATAATTAGTAGAAGCCTGTTTTATGATTATAAAGTTTTTTTGAGACAGGGTCTTGCTACATATATCTGGTTGGCCTGGTACTCACTGTGTAACCTGGGATGGCCTCAGATTTGCAACAGTTCTTCCTCAGTTTCCCCAGTGCTAGGACTATAGTCGTGTGCCTCCACACCCAGCTTACATTACAGTTCCAGTGGATCCAACACCCTCTTCTGGCCTCTGTGAACACCAGACACACATCCATACACATAAAAGAGAAAGAGAAAAAAAAAAAAAAAAACACTTTGGAAATTAAAATAGCAAAATACTGTTTGATAAGCTTTTTCTACTTAATATCATATTGAAAAAAACATACATTTTAATGGCAATGTAATATATATATTTATTACATTTAGTTTTCTGTAGTTGATGATTTAACCAATCCTCTGTTGTTGAAAACTAGGGCTATCTTTTAAGTCTATCTTAAATCCGTCATCTCTTTAATAGTGTGTGTACGCGCGCTTGTCAGTGTAAAGGAAGCTGCAGTTCATTAACTATGCTCACATAATGTTTGGAGGGAGATACGTGTTCTGTATGTCATGATCAACTCACTACAGGCTGTCTGTATCCTGATCTCTTTACTTCACTGTCTCACCATGATGATTTCTAGATCAAATAGTCTCTATGGACTTTATAAAAATCATTTATACCACTTCCCCCTTATTTCACAGATACAGAAAATTGAAGGATTAATATCATACCGAGACCCTCATTTTTGGCGCCATTCTGCCAGTATTGTAGCAGGAACAATTCATATACAGGTGACATCTGATGTGCTGGAACAAAGAATTGTACAGCAGGTAATTGTTGTTTGTGATAATTCATGTATAGAATTGTACACCCCATATGGCTTAATAGTCATTTACTCTTTAAAAATACCAATCTTGCTGGGCATGGTGGCACTTGCCTTTAACCCAGCACTCAGAGATGCAGAAGCAGGCAAAGCTTCATGAATGCTAGACCAGCCTGAGCTGCATCTCAAGATCCTATCTCAAAAGAAAACTTGTACTAAATACAGTATCCTAAATTGTTGAATTTTCTCAATGTTCTAACAGGTTACAGGAATACTTAAAGATGCTGGAGTAAACAACTTAACAATTCAAGTGGAAAAGGAGGCATACTTTCAACATATGTCTGGCCTGAGTACTGGATTTCACGACGTTCTGGCTATGACAAAACAAATGGACTCCATGAAATACTGCAAAGATGGTACTTACATCATGTGAGATGTACCCTGTGGTGTGAGCAATGGAGGTTGAGTGACTGTGTTTATAATGTCACACCAGAATGAAAGTTGCACATAATTGTACAAAAACTTTTAAACTTTTAAAAGCTTCCTGCTGTTTGGTAAAGGAGTCTCTTTTAAAGAAAATTGAAATGCAGAATGAAGCATTAATTGTATAAGAAAACTTTGTTACTCTGAATTATGTGTATGAAAGGAATCTTAAATTTGAATATGATGTAATCGTATCACATCATCTTCAGAAATGGACACATAATGATGGATTCTGGTGAAGACCAAAATTTCTTCTGTGCATTTACTTTCTATCAGAAAGCATCTCCACTGTAAATATGTATTTACATGTTTATTACAAAAACCCAGATGAAGTTTTTAGTCGATTTTTTGCATATCTGAAGAACAAAATGAGAATAAAATTCTATATTTATGAGTTTTCTGTATATAAAACTGGTTTCTAGTTATAATTTAAGTCTATTAAGTAAAAGTTGTATTTCTACTTGAAATGTAAACAATTCAGGAGAAATTTCAACCATTGATTTGAGATAAACAATGAGAATAGAGAACTATAATATAGTTCTTGATGGGTTATGAGGTTTAACCACTCCATTAAATAAATTTTATTTTTGGTAGTTTTTGCAAATGAATAATTGGTTAGAGTAAAGAACTTACACTAAGTTGTATCATGTTACTCCCTATTATCTTTCAACACCAAGGCTGAATATCCGGTTTTCCTGTATGCATCTGGCCTCCCAAGACACTGTGCTGCCCGTCAGTACAGACTGTTCGTCCTGTCACTTGCCTCCTTGCGTGTGCAACAGTCACACCTGATTTCAGAATTGCATTCTCATGTGCTTATAACTTTTTTTTTTTTCTGATTTCTGGAGAAATGTACACATATAATAAATAACAGAGTAGTTTTTTCAAGATGTAGGTGAAATTTGTACATGGCTTTTGGCTGCCATGAAAGTGAAATGTCCTGTAATTACTTTCTATAGTTTTGTCTACCATAATCATTTCCAGTTTTAGCTGGATGTATAATCTAAAGAGACATTATGAGTGATATATGCAGTTTTATGGCCAAAGAATGTTGTTCAGTGCAAACTTGAATATTTTCATTACAGTAGGAATTTTGATACATAGGATGATTTAGAATAGATATTTTCCTATCATGATGACAGACATTTTAAAAAATATTTTATCTTACCAGTTTTAATATATGAAGGTATTTAGAAATTTCTTACAAGTTACTTTGGTGCTCTTTATCTTCTTTTTGCACGCTTTGGTCCAGAATTTTCAGCACATATTAAAATATTGAGTGGTGGAGCTGAAGAGATGTCTCAGCAGTTAAAAGTACAAGGACCTGGCCAGCATCCTACATGGAAGCTCACAGTTGTCTCTTAACTACATTCCCAGGGATCTAATGTCCTCTTTTGGCACTGTATGCATGTGATACACAAACGTATGTAGCCCTGGCTATCCTGAAACTCATTGTGTAGACCTCGCTGACCTGAAACTCAAGAGATCTGCCTGCCTATGCCTTCCAAGTACTGGGAATAAAGGTATATACTACCACCCAGCAAAATAAAGTTTTTTAAATTAAAATCTTGAGTGATGAGAAAATAATTGTATGTTAATGTTTTAATGCAAATTCATAAAAAAAACATTTCAGATCGTGAGGTACAGTAAATATACCAATGTTAAAATTTTCATTTCCCTTAAAAGGAATATAATTAGCAAAAGAACTTGAATTAATGTGGCTGGGAATGATGAGCTGTGAGAGAGCTGAAGATGAAGGAAGTGCAGGCAGAATATAGGGAGACTGCTGAATGCACCTGCCTCTGCCTCCCAGTGCTGGGACTAAAGGTGTGCACCACCACACCCGGTTTAGTATCTTTTTACCCCTCACTTACAAAGCCAATAAAATTTACTTCACAAGGATTAGCAACAAAAGGAGTTATGCTTGCAAGAAACGATGGACTGAATAAAGTTGAAGAATCCAGGACAGTCTCCCCATCTTCAGGTGTTTGAAGTCCCTTCTGCCATATAAGGAAGAATATTCATAGGTTCCAAGTGTATGACAGCTGTTCTTGGTTGTCAGCTTGACAACATCTGGAATTAAAACCCAAAATGCTGGGCAAACCTGTAAGGAATTTGTTTGGGGACAGGGTCTCCCTGAGTAGCCTGGCTGTCCTAGAACTCATTCTGTAGATCAGGCTGGTCTCGAACTCAGAGCTCTACCTGTCTCTGCCTGCTGAGTGTGGTGATTAAAGACTTGCACTACCACTGCCGGGTGAGGGGTTCTTTTTCTGAATTAAATCATTTGAAGTGTAAAGACCCACTTCTAATCCAGATATTTGAGGCAGGAAGATCCACCTTTAGTCTGGAGCACACCTTCTCCTGGAAGCTTGTATAAAGGACATGGAAGAAAGAAGTTTGTTGTCACCCTTTTCCTCGTGCTAGACCTTAGGGATGGAGATGCTGCAGCCCAGTTGGATGAATTAAATGCAGTGGGATTCATTGGGTCCCAAAGTAGCAGAGTAGCAGGGGCCAAATAGCAGCACTGAATCACCAAAGGCAAGGTGATCACAGTTAATAGTGGGCAGCACAGACAAAGCAGTGTCCATAGTGGCCTGACCCAGAAGGGTCAGTGCAGGAAAGGTGAGATCTTTATGGTGGCATGACTTGTATGGACCTCTGGTACTGTCTAATCAAGCAGCCTGTTTTCAGGGGTGAAAAAGTTAAGAAGCCTACTGAATTTTGGTTTGATTAGTGAAAAGTTTCCAAATGAAAGAAAGGTTGTATTAGATATTGGCAAAAGGGAAATTTCCTGATTTGAGCTAGTTTGCAGACCCAGAACTTTTTTTTTTTTTTTTTTTTTAAACCCGGAACTCCTTGAATGAAGTGGTAGCCAGGCTCCTCTGAGGACTTTGATAAAATACCTGAAAATGTTCCTTTTGGCCTTTCTCCAGACCTACTGCAGAAAGCCTCTTGCAAGGGTAACTGTACACTGGGGGAAGAAACAAGACTTGCCAGAGTCTATTGGATACTGGTTCTGAATTGATACTGTTTCTGGAAGATCCCAAGAAACATTGTGGCCCTCCAGTTAAAACACTATGGAGGTCAGATGATTAATGGAGTTTTGGCTAGAATCTCACTCACAGTTGGAGCAGTGGTTCCCGAACTCATCCTGTGATTATTTCCACAGTCCTGGAATGAATGGTTGGGACAGATACACTTACAAGTTGGCAGAATTCTCACCCTGTGTCCCTGGCCTGTGGAGTGAGGGATTATGGTTAGAAAAGCTAAATGGAAGCCTTTGGAGTTGCCTCTGCCCTCGAAACTAGTATCTCTTCCCCAGAGGAATTAGAGAAATTGGTGCCACCATCAAGAACTTGAAAGCTGCAGGGTTGGCAGTTCCCAGCACATCTCCCTTTAACTCTCCTACCTGGTCAGTGCAGAAGACAGATGGACCGTGAAGAATGACAGCTGACCATAGAATACTCCAGTAATGATCTGGTTGCAGCTGCTCTACCTGATGTGGTGTCCTTCCTGAGCAGATTAACACAGCTCCTGGAACATGATATGCCGCTATCGAGCTAGCAAACATATTCTACAATTGTCAGAAGTTGGTTCTTTTTTACTATGTGGGTTCAGGTTGGCAGGTTTAGCAGCAAGCCCCTTTACCCACTGAGCCATCTCCCTGGCCTAACAAACAGCATTTAAAAGTCAGTTGATAAGCCAGGCATAGTGCCACTCACCTTTCAAGCCAGAGCTTTAAAGGCAGAGGCAGAAGGATCCCTGTAAATTTGATGCCAGCCTGATCTACAGAGAGAATTCCAGGACACCAGGGCTACATAGAGATGCTGTCTAAAAACAAACAAACAAACAGATGCCTGTTGACATATAGTGACATCAGCATAACTAAGGTTCACAACTCACTGTTATCATCATGTTTTGATTAAAGAACCAAATCAGATATAAAGATTTACCATTTCTTAGAAAGAGAGAGAGAAAGAATAATTGTTATAGATATATTTTCTTTTATGTGCATCTATGTGTGGGTATGTAGACGGACGGGACATAGAAGCCTCAGCTGGGCATTAGATCCCCTGGAGCTGGAGTTACAGGTGGCTGTGAGTTGCTGGACATGGATGCTGGAAGCCAAACTCAGGTTCTCTGGAAAAGTATATGCTCCTAACTACAGAGCCATCTCTCCAGACCCTAGCTTTTACTTTTTAGGAATTATTTTATTTTTAATTATGTGTGTTTGTAGGTCTGTGTATGGGAAGTATGTTCTCAATGAAATGTAACAAAATATGGCTTTTTGCTATTGGGCTTTTTTTTTCTGGTGTGTGTGTGTGTGTGTGCCTGTCTGTCTCTCTGTGTCTATGTCTGTGTGTACAAACCTATGTGTGAATGCCTACAGTGGCTAGAAAGGGGCTTTGGATCTCCTGGAGCTGAAGTTGCAAGCAGTCGTAAGCCAGTCAACATGGATTTAAGCCAAAAGAAAGTCTTTATTGACCGACTAGCGACTACACAGGGTGTTCTAGAGCCCAGTGTAGCCCCAAGCCTTTCTCGGGGTGAGCTTTTAAGCACAAAAGCCATATCCTGAGTTGACATACATCAGTTAACAAGAACAGCTAGCCAAATTGGAACTACAGAAGCTAAAAAACAAAGTTAGTGCATTTAGGTACTTTCTCAGAACTGTAGACTCGGATGGATTAGGTCTTTGTTTTTGTTTCGGCAGGTAGTACTGTCTATGTGCTAAATTTGCTCTGAATGATGCTTCCATCTTGGAGTCATCTGTGCTAAGGTCTGGGGCCCTGTAACAAACTGAACTCAGGTTCTCTGGAAGAACATCAACTGCTCTTACTGATAGGTATTCTCCACCGAGAAAATGAGCCAATTCAACCCAAATTAAAGTATAAATGCAGAGTCAGAGTCATTGGGAGCAGCGCTCAGTTGGGTCTACCAATCCCAAGGAACAAGGCCAGGAAAGTCAACATGCAGAGGAATACAGAGAGTGGAGGAGGGGTGGAGAACGCGAGTGTAAAGAAAGGTGAGGACAGAGAGAAAACCAAAATGTCTAGATTATGTAGGGGAGAATTCAGCTGCAGACAGAAGGATGCTGGGAGAACCTGGAGGCCAGGTCCACTTTAGTATGTTAAATAGGCACCTCTTTTTCTCTTCGGAATCCCAATACTCACCCAGCAGACCATCTCTCTAGCCCCAATTGTTGATTTGAGATAGAATTTTAATCTGTAACCAAGACTGGCCTTGAACTTGTGTAAACCTCATGCCTCAGCCTCCCAGGCCTGGATAAATACAGTTTTGAGTTATCCTTTTCTGTTTGTTTGTTTGTTTGTTTGTTTGTTTGTGGTGGAAATTGAGTCCAGGGTCTGTGTTGTACACAGGGAGGCACATGCTGCATTCGAAGCTCTGGTTTGAACTTTGTGAAATAATATAGTCTGGTTTGGGAGCACAGACTTATCATCCAGCACGTAGGAGGCTGCAGCAGGAGGATTAAGGGTACATAGCAAGTTCTAGACTGGCCTAAGCTACATAATACCCTGTCTAAATAAATAAATAAATAAATAAATAAATAAATAAATCCTGGGCCTTTGAGACAGTTTAGCAGGTAAAGGTGCTTGCTGCTAAGGCTGACAACATGAGTTCAATCCCTGGAACTGACATAATGGAAGAAGGGAACCAGCCCCAGCAAACTATCCTCTAACCTCCACACAAACACCGATATTCAAGAATTTAAGTTAGCCTGGGTGACTCCATTTTGAAATTAGGAGCCATTTTGACTGGGAGCTGAACTCAGGTACCAGGACATATCACAGAACATGCACTTGGCAGAAAACAAAGTTAACTCTCCTAGCAACAGCCTCCAGGAAATATCACAGAATAAATACTTGATAGAAAATAGAGACAATCTTCTTAGCAATAATCAATGAGAATTGGTTGGGAAAATTCTCCCCAACATTCCAGATGTAGTTTAGAAGAATGGCAATTGTGATTATGTAGAAGGTCACCTCGCCCCTATGACTTTTACCCAATCCTGTAGCATCAAGGCATGAACCCCCCCCCTGCTTGATGTCATGGAAGCCCCCTACTTTCGGTTTTTCCCTTTAAAAACCCTGCTCACTCAGGGCTTGGGGTCCCACTTCTCTACTGCTGTGTCAGTGAGACTTGGGTCCCAAGTTTGATCGCTCTTTTAATAAAGCTCTCTTACATCGAATCATCTCCTGGTGGTCTCTGAGGGTCTAGTGATCCTGGCATAACAAAATGAAAACAGGACCACATTCTCATCATTAAGGTTTTGAAATGCTAAGATAACCATATTTTATTTCAAAGCAGAAGCAAACAGATTGAATTCAAGGTCAGCCTGGCCTACAAAGCAAGTTATAGGCTAGCCAAAGCGACACAGTGAGGCCCTGTCTCCAAAAACTAGAGCAAAATATTGAGCAGATATTTCACTGTAAAAGACACACAGATGATGAATAAACATATTTTAAAATGCTTAGTACCATATGCCATTAAAGAACTGCACATTAAAATCTGAGTTCCTTAAAAATAGGGAGAAGGGCTGTGAAGTGCTGTCTTCTGGGTATGGCAAAGGGAATGCGATCATGACCTCACACCGCTGCGGCTGCCTGCAATGAGCCTAACAAGCAGTCGGTCACTGATCAGCGAGAGCCTCATAGGATCCCACCCTCCTTGCTGAACTACTGACGGACACTAGGAGAGAGGGACAGTCATTGTCTCCTACAGTTTGTTATCAGCAGAGGAGCCCAGCAGGCTCCATGAGCCATGGTCACACTGATAATCAAACTCAGAAGGTTGTTTGTTGTTGTTGGTTTGTTTTGTTGGGATTTCTTTTGTTTTTGGTTTTTTTTTTTTTTTTTTATTTTGAGACAGGGTTTCTCTGTGTAGCCTTGACTATCGTGGATTCGCTTTGTAGATCAGGCTGGCCTAGAATTCACAGAGATCTGCCTGCTTCTGCCTCCCCAAGGGTTAGGATTACAGGTATATGTGCCACAGTGCCCAGGGTTTTTGTTGTTGTTGTTGTTGTTTTGTTTTTAAAGACCTACTGAGTTTAAGCCAGGTGTGGCGGTGCACACCTTTAATCACAGTACTCAGGCATTATCTCTAAGAGTTGGAGGCCAGACTGGTCTACCCCACAACAACGACAAAATGTCCAGGATGTGAGGACCTGCAGGGAGAGAGGAGGTGATAAAGGGAGGAAGGAGAGCAAAGAGTGTAAGATTTTATAATAATCACAATGTGTTTTAAAGAAGCTGGCAAAGAACAAACTCAATAAGGTTTTATTTTTCCTTCTTGATGCGTTACTTAAGCTGGCTGGGGTCTATCCCCAGCACCAAAACTAGCAAACAAACAAATCAACATCAAAGTACTGCACACTTAGCACAATGACTAAAATTGAAAACTAACATCAAATGACGAAGATGTGAAACAACAGGAACTCTTGTTTGTTACACGGACATGGAAGTGGAAAAATGCCATGCATGGAGCCATATATACTAATCCTACCACTCAGGAGGCAGAAGCAGGAGGCTGGCAGTAAGTTTTTCATCCAGCCTGGTCTACATAACAAGTTCTAGGCCAGCCGCAGCTTTTTCAAAAGACGGGCAGCCAGCTAGATGGCTCAGTGGGAAAAGGCACCTACTGTCAAGCATAACAACCTAAATTTGATCCACTGCATGCAAATGACTCCATGCAGCTTCCTATGGGAACCATTGGCAGTTAATGGTTGCCGGGAGAGAGGGGGTTGGGTTTTTTTTGGTTGGTCGGTTGGTTGGATGGCTGTTGTTGTTTTGGTGGCACAGCCACTGAGTTGCCCGTGCTTTAGTAAACAACACCCTACCCAAGCAACTCTGATTCAACTTGGTGAGTCACACACAATACAGACGTGAAAGCAGGAGCGATCATTTCAATGGAACAGGATTAGTGATGAGGGAGAGTAATGGAGGCTGAAGATTACTAAGATTTTTCATAAACATGTATGAAACTGGCAAAGAATAAAAAGTTAAAGGAATAACATACTCAAGTGGGATTTCTGTTTCAAGTGGAGTTACTGTGTGGGTCCATAGTCTACATCAAAAGTCCCTGGATCTTTTCTTTCACTTTTTTTTCTCTTTTACTTTTTTCTTTGAGAAAGGGCCTTAAAAATAGCATTTGAACTTGCTAGCTGAAGACACCTCGGCCCCTTATCTCACTATATTGCTCAGGCTGACTAATAGTTATTCATCCTATCTCAGACTCTCAGTGTCTGAGGGATTGGGTTTTATGAGTCCCTCCCTAATCCATGATGAAATGCTAACAGGCCCAATCTGATGTTGATTTTGTACAAGTACCCATTGCTGGAGAGAGTTCATGCGTGTCATTTTGCATCACGCCTGTAGTGTGACAAAACTTTCCCCGAAGAGACAAAACACACATCTATTCACTCGGAGAGGAAGCTCACAACAGACCAAAGTATGGATAGCACCAAAGTCTAACTTGGTAAACCAATGAGCTTTATTACAGTTCCTTACAGGAACAAAAATGACTCAAAGACAGCTGCATCACCAAAGCCCACCCTAACTCAGGTGATGTCTCACAAAACCTGGAGCACACTCTAGAGCCTGATGGTAGCTCCACAGTTGGGAGAGTGTACTTTCCCGGTCCATCAGTTGGTCTAAACCTCTTCTAGGCAGCTCATCTGGTTTCTGCTTCTCCCGTGCAGCTGGTCTGGTCTGAGTCTTCATGTAGCTTTGCTTGTCTGAGAGTGTTTTTGTAGCTTGGCTAAGTGTATTGTGGCAAGGAGAAACCTAGTGAATCTAGTAAGTTTCAGGGACTTCCGGAAGCTATTATTCCCCACCCCACCCCCTTCTTATTTAAAGAGCTTTCCTGCAGGATAGAATCTTTCTGTTTCAGAGGAAACTGTTACACAGTACATTCCTATCTTCCAGCTCTATGTTCCTTCTGCTGTTTCTTCCACAATATTCCCTGAGCCTTGGAAGGGATGATACAGCTGTCCCGATTAGGAGTAAGCGGTTGTTTTGTTTTTGAGACAAGGTCTCACACTAAAGCCAGGCTGGCCTGGAACTCACAGTATGGCTCAGATTGGCTTTGGACTCATGGCAGTCCTGCCTCAGTCTTGTAAGTGTTGGGGTTGCTAGCGTGAGTCACCACACCTTGCTGATGTGCCTGCTGGCGCTAGGGGAGACTGGGCAGGAAAATGCTGGATTTCTGTGAAGTTCTGCTAGAAGCCTAACAGCCAGGCATGGCAGCACACGCCTGTAATCCCAGCACTCAGGAAGGCAGAGGCAGCCAGATCTCTGTGAGGCCAGCCTGCTCTACAGAGTGAGTCCAGGACAGCCAGGGCTACACAGAAAAACCCTGTCTCGAACACCTCCCCCCCTCAGAAAAAGTACAATCCTAGCCAGGTGTGGTAGCACATTCCTTTAATGCCAACTTGTAGGAAATTAAGGTAGAATTACTACAAATTCCAAATTCCGAGGCCAACCTCAGGCTACTGTAGAGACCTTGTCTCAAACAAAACAAACTTCTTGCACAGAGAGAGAGAGAGAGAGATGGCGGGCTGGGGCAGGAATGGGACATGGTATTTGAGGACATTAATTTGTATATTAATGATTGTTAGAGGACTAGGGATACAGCACCATTGGTAGTGCTTGCTTGAAAACCTGGGTTCAATCCCCACTGTCACACAAACCCAGTGCAGTGGTTTACACCTGTAACCTCCATACTGAGGAGGTGAGGGAGGGAGGAGAATAGGAGATTTAAAGTCATCCTCAGCTACATGGAGTTGCAGCTCTGTCTGTGTACATGAGATCTGGCTCTAATCCCAGCACTGGGGAGGCAGAGTCTCTGTGAGTTCAAGGCCAGCCTGGTCTACAGAGAAAGTTCCAGGACAGCCAGGGCTGCGCAGAGAAACCCTGTCTCGAAAACCAAACCAACCAAACAACAACAACAAAAAATCCTCATTAGTGTTACTGAAAATTAATGTGGAATCTTTTTTTTACGAAAGATAATAAACCTTAATAAGGAGTCTGAGGTCGAAGGAGGGAGAGTTGCATTAGGAATTCTTGTTAAATAAGTAGATTTTACAAAACTATATTTTTAGAGTAACCTTAGGCTGACAGCAAAATTAAGCAGAAGGTACATTTCCTTTTATCACTGGGGCAGTAACTACCGGGTCGGCTGCTATGTTAATGTGTTTGATTATAACCATTGACCGTGCATACGTGCTATAATTTCATGCTATAAACCTCAAAAATCCATCCCAGATAGACTTCCATGAACTCTGAGACAGCATTGCCACTTTTGTAGAGGAGGAGAATGAGAAGCAATAATAAGAAGGACGACAGCCAAACTCTGCGGCACGCTCCTGAGCTGTGTGTGGCGGGGCCCACAGTCTCTTCCTCAGTCAGCACGCAAGGGGCCACACAGCTGCGAGCGCGCAGGCGCAGAGCCTGACCTCGGGAGGGGTGGGCGGGGCCGCCAGCTGCCGCCTGCTCCGGCCCCGCCCCTCCGAACCTGGTCGCGGGATCGCCCAGGAAACGCATTCTACGGGGAGCCCGCAGCGCCAATGGGAAGCGAGCAAGTGCCACGAACGGGCCAATGAGGAGAGAACGGCCCGGGGTTTAAACCCAGGCCCGGCAGGCTCCTCCCGGCGTGCTCCGGAGGAACGGCTGTCGGTTTCTGTCCGTGGCCAGCCAGGGGCCGGGGTGTCCTGCTTCTGGTCGCCGAGCCCCTACTCCAGGAAGAGCCATGGCGCTCAGGGTCACTAGGGTGAGCCGGGCCGGGCGCCGCGGGAGCGGACCGTGGCGGCCAGGCGGGGAGCTGGGGACCGGCTGGAGGGCGAGGGAGATCTCTGAACCTGTCCGGGCTGCAGCCCGGGGAGGCGAGGGTGGTGAGCTTCGGTGTTGGAGGCCCCGGAGCGAGCCCTTCGCCTTCCCGGATGCTGTCTGAAGCCCCTCGTTTCCTTTCTGATGTAAACTCACGGTGTTTAGGATTGCATGGGACCTAGGAGGAAGTTGGATGATAGGGGAATGGGGAAGATTTGGGTGGAAACGGGCTTGTCACGGCCGGAGTAGGGTTGGCCTTCCCGCTGGGATGCATGGAAGGGTGTCCTGGGACTCGGAAGCCCGACACACAGCTCTGAGGGGAGAAGGTATCCCAGTTGGGAGGACGTCTTGAGAGCCCTGGCTTTGCTTGTGGGAGCCTCAGTTGAGGCCCACCTTCATTAACCCTTGACTTCCTGCAGCCGCCATGGATCATCTCTCAAGTAGTTTTGTTGTTGTTTTTTCCAGAATTCGAAAATTAACACAGAAAATAAGGCCAAGGTCAGCATGGCAGGCGCCAAGCGAGTGCCTGTGGCATTCGCTGCAGCCTCCAAGCCCGGACTGAGACCCAGAACCGCGCTTGGAGACATTGGTAACAAAGTCAGCGAGCAGGTACAGGCAAGCATGCCTCTGAAAAAGGTAACTTATCTTCTTGGCCCAGCTATACTGAAAAAGCCAGTCTTCCAGCTGACACCTTTGGGAAAACATTCTTTTTCCTCCATTCCTTCCACAGGAAGCAAAAACTTCAGCTGCTGGAAAAGCTACTGCTAAAATCATACCAAAACCTGTGGAGAAGGCGCCTGTGTGTGAGCCAGAGGTTGAACTTGCTGACCCTGAACCTGTTATGGAAGAAAAGCTTTCTCCCGAACCTATTTTGGTAAACTTAGCATTTTGAAAAGTCTTCCTTCTTTCCGACTTCACAGTGTTTGAGTATGTATTTATTGAGTGTTAAGCAAAGGTATTTGACATGCATTAATACACTCGCTGGGTAGGTATTACCTCTATATCCGATGGTGGCAGACAGATATGTCAGGGTTTTTGTTTTATGTACACAGGGTCTCATGATGTGGAACTCCGAGGTGTGACTGCCTCTTGAGATCTGGGATCCAGAGGTGGGCACCATCTTTTTTTGTGTCACTGTGTAGCCCATGCTGTGCCATCCTTGAAGTTGAGATTCTTCTCCCAGCTCTCCAGTGCTGGGATGGTGCAATCCGTCCAGATCTTTTTTAATTGCTTCCTTGTGTGTAGCACCCTGAACCAAAGAATTTTAGTGTAGGTCTGCAATAATAACACACAGATGTGTTTGTGAATCTTCTCCCTAGTACAGCCACAAAATTAATAAGCCTCTTATAAAAGAAAATTTTCAGACAGAAAATAAGATTAAGTAAATAGGTGTCTCTAATCCCAGCACTCCATCGAAAGGCAGGTGGGGCTCTGAGTTCAAGGCCAGCTTTGCCTCTGTAGGCCAGCCAGCCAGAGCCACAAATAGTGAGACCCTTCGTTTCCACTCTGATGCACACAATAGTGTTTGAATATGTAATATATATTATGGAAAAAGGGGGAGGTGATGGGTTAACATTTTAAGCCTAAAAATGTTTCTGGCTGGGTTTGTAGCATGTTCAGCATTTAGGAGGCCTTGGGTACTAAATACAAAAGCACACAAACACACTAAATCTTACTACTAGGTGTGATAGTGTGGTAGGGGGAGTACAGGTCAGGGCTAGCCTGCGCTAAATAGCACAGCTATATCCGTTTATATCACTTTCTGTAGCGTCATTGTAATCAAGAACTTGTATCCACCTGAATAAAGGTTGAAGACTTGGTCATTTGTTTAAATCAACTTCACATGGTGCTAATGAACATTCGCTTTATTACCTGTTTCCTTTGACTTTCTTTACATGTTAGTATTTAGAGTCCTTTTTTATTTGTATGTGCCCAATCATGTGCATGTTAGGCCTGACGGGGACAGGAGAGGTCCCTTGGAGCTGGAGTTCTAGGCATTTTTGAGTCACCCAATGTGGGTTCTATGATCTGAGCTCTGGTCCTCAGGATGGAGCAGCAAGGGCTCTTTATTTGCTGAGCCATCTCTCCAGCTCCCAAACCTCCACCCACCCCACGCCTTTTTTTTTTTTTTTTTTTTTTTTTTTTACATTATATTTTGTGTGCGAATACACACTTGAAGAGGTCAGAGGATACCTTTTGAGTCAGTTCTTCCACCATGTGGGTCCTGGGGGTTGAACTCCGCTGTTAGACTTGGCAATAGGCACCTTTATCCATCTTGCCAGCCCAGTTCTTGCTACTTTAAACTGGCTTAATCAAATTGGGATTTACCTTTTTTTTTTTTTTTTTAAGATTTATTATTTAAATAAATTGCATGTGTGTGGGCACCAGATCTCACTATAGATGGTTATGAGCCACCATGTGGTTGCTGGGAATTGAACTTAGGATCTTGGAAAAGAACAGCCAATGTTCTTAAACTCTGAGCCATCTCTCCGACCCTCGGGATTTACCTTTTTATGAGACCAGATCTTGTTGCCTTGCAGTTTCCTATGGAAACCAGGCTGGCTTCAGCTTAGATCTGCCTCCCACCTGCTGGAATTAAAGGCATGCCTCTGGCATGTCTGGTTTTTGTTTTAAAGATTGCTTTTTTATGGGTGAGACATGGTTTGCAAATGAATGCCATGCCCAAAGAGGCCAGAAGAGGGCATTAGATATCCTGGAGCTGGTGTAGGTCATCTGGTTCCTGTAGAAAAACTGAATTCCAGCCCTTGGCAAAAAAAAAGAAAGCAAGTGCTCTTTACAGCTAAGCCATCGCTCCAGCCCAGTATTTACTTTTTTTTAAGGTTTATTTTATGTGTATATGAGTGCCCGATCTCAGTGTACACCTGCATGCCAGAAGAGGGCTTCAGATCCCATTGTAGATAGTTATGAGCTACCATGTGGTTACTGGAAATTGAACTCAAGACCTGGAAGAGCAGAGTGTTCCTAATTACTAAGCAATTTCTCCAGCCCCCAGTATTTACTTTTAATAATTTCCCAGAAAGAAATTGGGGGGAAAAAAACTAAATGTTTTTCCTTTAATGAAATACATTTTCTCAGAATGATTTTTGGCTGGGGGATACCAATACTGACTTTCCTTCCCAGGCTGTGGCATGTGGTCCTCATTGTTTCATGGAGTCTTATCTTTTTCAAGGTTGATAATCCCTCTCCAAGCCCAATGGAAACTTCTGGATGTGCACCTGCAGAAGAATATCTGTGCCAGGCTTTCTCTGATGTAATTCTTGCAGTGAGTGATGTGGATGCAGATGATGGAGCTGACCCAAACCTCTGCAGTGAATATGTGAAAGATATATATACTTACCTCAGGCAGCTGGAGGTCAGTATTAACACTGTAGCCTGCTTCACTAAAGACCTTTATTCTTGTTTAAGATCCTTCTGGGTCAACCTTCCCAGTGCTGGAATTAAAGGCGATCATCACCACACCTGGCTGATTTACTTATTCACATTTATTTATTTCTTGAGGCAGGGTCTTTCTGTCAGGACTGGTCTGTTCTGGAGCTCACGATAGAGACCAGGTTGGCTTGGAACTCACAGCTCCTTCTGCCTCTTGGTACTGGGATTAAAGTCCTGTGCCACCAACTTAGCTATCAAAGCTATCAGCAGCACACTTGACATTTCTTTACCTCAAATAACACTTGAAAAACACTATTTCCAGTTTTCAAACAGCAGTAATAAAGTCACTAACCCCATGAAGTGGACTTGCCATGTTGAATACAAGATTTCTGTGTTGGGGAAATACTGACTGCCAGAACTCTTAACTCACATAGACCTCAGGGTTTGAGGAGAGGTGGATGACATGCTAAAGGACTGTAGCTGTCCTAACACAAGGCATCATTTTGTGTCAGTATGCATGTGCTTGTTTGGGAAATTACTTGTGTCTAAAAGGAGCACACTCTAAAGTTGTTGAGTTGATGCTAATGACATTTGCTCTTTCACCTCCTTAAACAATACATTCTATAGTTAATGTGCGGGGCAGATTTAACACCACCTGCCCCAAGTCTTAGGGATAGAACACAACCTGGTACATACTAAGTCAGCATTTGGCCACTGAACTATAGCCCTAGCATTGTCTTCACAGGTTATCATTGGTTTATTCAGTGTCTTGTCCTTTGGGACAGGGTGGGTGTGGGTCAGAGAACAACTTTCAAGAGTTGGCTCTCCTTCCACTGCTAAACTAGTTCCAGGATTGAACTTGTCAACAGGCCTTTACCTGCTAAGCTGTCTTGCTGGCTCCCATTCCCTTTTGCATCTATATTTTCTAAAGGAGCCTTCAATAAGGTATCCGTCCAAACTTGCCATTGCTTTTTAATTCTTGTTACTAGTTAAGATTTGTGTTCTGCAGAACTGGTTTTGGTAGTTGAACATATTAGTCCTTAAAGTCTTATCCTCAGCTGTGTTCTAAAATTTATTTTTTCTGCATCGCAAAGCTCAGCTACTGTCTTAGTCTTATGAAAAGATCTGAGATAACTGGTGGGCACAGGGCGTAAGCTGCAGTGGGTTCTGCTGAATTGAGTGTCTGAACAGTATGAAGAGCCTGGCTGCTCTAACCTTGCTTTCTTAATGAGCCGCTCCAGAGCTGCCTGTTCTCTGTATATTAACTGGTCTTTATGGACACACGCGGAATAGGGAGTGATGCTTTTAGAGTAACTTCTTTTTTTTTTCTTTCTTCCAGGAAGAGCAGTCAGTTAGACCAAAATACTTACTGGGTCGTGAAGTCACTGGAAATATGCGAGCCATCCTCATTGACTGGCTAGTACAGGTTCAGATGAAATTTAGGCTGCTGCAGGAGACCATGTACATGACTGTTTCCATTATTGATCGGTTTATGCAGGTATGTGTAATTCTGAGTTGTAGGAGAACCTTGGAGGTAGACATGGAAGGTTGAACCCAGGGTCCCATGGTAGGCCAGGTACCTTAGCCTTGGAGCTATTTATTATACCTAGCCGGGAACTGAAATCTCTCTTGGGAGGTAAGGTGTCATCAGTTGAGCTGTTAGAGTACACACTGTTAATTGAATGTGCCATTGCAGAACAATTGTGTGCCGAAGAAGATGCTGCAGCTGGTTGGTGTGACTGCCATGTTTATTGCAAGCAAATATGAAGAAATGTACCCACCGGAAATCGGTGACTTCGCTTTTGTGACTAACAACACCTACACGAAGCACCAGATCAGACAAATGGAAATGAAGATTCTAAGAGTTTTGAACTTCAGTCTGGGTCGCCCTTTGCCTCTACACTTCCTCCGTAGAGCCTCTAAAATTGGAGAGGTATAGATTTCTTCTTTTGCTACATTGTTTAATATAGCTGCTGACGTATATTAAAAACCTAACTACTCAGGAGAGGGATATGGCTGTTACTCATTTCTAAGCAGACTGTGTATTAATTACGTGGTTACTCTTAAGGTTTGTGTGGACAGTTGTAGTCACTGACAGAGCTTTTTATGTTATTGCCAAGTAAAATTCTGCAAAAGGCTCGGAATGCTGTGTGTGTCTATTCCAGGTTGATGTTGAGCAGCATACTTTGGCCAAATACCTCATGGAGCTCACCATGCTGGATTATGACATGGTGCACTTTGCTCCTTCTCAAATCGCAGCTGGGGCTTTCTGCTTAGCACTGAAAATCCTTGACAACGGTGAATGGGTAAGCTGCCTCACCAGCCACCAAGCTTTTAGGTTGTGAACGGCCTTTGAGTGTGAACATACGTGGTAATGGATGCTCTGCTGTCTTCTTAGAATGGCTCCATTTCTTTAGCTAATTTAATCTTCATGGAAAACACCCTTTTGAGAAAGGAAACTACAAGTGGATCTAGGAAACCCATCCACATTCTTGGAATGGGTGTTTCTCATGTAGACTGTGCTGTCCTGACATGGGTGTAGGGAAGCCAGCATTTATATTGTGGTTTAGATGGGCAGATGTGTCTTACATTTCAGTTGTGATTACCATACACTATCCCCTGGCCAGACTCTTAAGATCATGTAGAAAGTTGATAAAAGCCACTGGTGTGTTTAAACATGTTTTTTTTTTTTTTTTTGTCTTAGACCCCAACTCTGCAGCACTACCTCTCCTACACTGAAGACTCTCTCCTTCCTGTTATGCAGCACATGGCTAAGAACATAGTCATGGTGAACCAAGGCCTTACAAAACACATGGTGAGTCTATTGAAGCTTCATGGCTGGCTTAAGACTTGAAGACCAGCACTCTGGAGGCAGGGAGGAGGCAGGTGGGACTCTTGAGTTCAAGGCCAGTCAAGAGTTACATAGATTTTGTTTTATTTTGTTTTTAAGTTGGAATTATATTACATTTCTCCAGCCTCTCTATGCACACAGCCCGTTGGGGTGGTTTTTGTTTTCTTTTTGATTGTGGTGTTTTTCTCTTACAGACTATTAAGAACAAGTATGCAACATCTAAGCATGCTAAGATCAGCACTCTGGCACAGCTGAATTGTACACTAATTCAAAATTTGTCCAAGGCCGTGAAAAAGGCGTAATAGCTCAAATGGACTACTCCATCTGCAAATGCAATTGGCACCATGTGCCACCTGTACATAGTATATGTGCTCTTCAATAAAGACTTTTTACTTTTCATAGCTCATTTGAATGTGGTTGCTTCTGACTTTAGGATAATAGAATTTGTATAAACATTTAAATTGCTTTTAGTTTCACAGGGGATCCAACAAATGTATATAATTGTAGCCTATATGTTTATAATACTTCCTTCACTGTGTGTCCTGATCTATCTTAAGTCATCCTGCAAAGTCTTCTGCCTAGCTTAGGTTTAAATTCTGGTTTAAACTCTAAATCTACCAGCTTGTCCCTAGTTCCGCTTTCTTTTTTCAGGTACTTGCTGCCTTTAACCCACTGTCTTGAGTTGTGAACTTTCAGATCTGAAACTGTTTTCTTGTTGTGTAATTATTTATTTGTTCTTAGTTGACTTGGAAAACAGGATGTCTTTTAAAAGAATTTGCCCCCAATCTCATTACCAACAGATAAGGGTATATTCTTGCATGTCCTGTATAAATCCAATCATGCATAATGTTGAGATTTTTATATGGGTTCATTTTGTCAGTATCCTCTTCACTGCCTATATTGCATTGTATAGTATGAATAAACTGTGTAATGTGTTCAATGATTCCCTTAATGACATTCAAACTGCCCTCTCACATTGCCCTCCTCACAATGCTTCTAGAATGCTATTTTATGTCTTGCTTGGCTTTATATCTGATATCAAGTTAAATAAAACTTCATTAATGAAAAGCTTTCCCAATTTCTCATTTGCCCTTTTGAGTGTTCAGCGTTGTCTTTGCTATATAGAAACTTAATGTTGCTAATAAACATTGTCCTGTATAGATTTTTTTTTAAACGTTTGCAGTGTTCTGTCTGCATGTAAACCTGCATGCCAAAAGAGAGCACCAGATCTCAAAGATGGTTGTGAGCCTGGTCCAGGACAGCCAAGGCTACACAGAAACCCTGGTTCAAAAAAAACCAGAATCTGCTCAGTGTGTTACTTGCATTTTTATAATTTCAGCACTGACTACTTTAGAGATCAGCTGGAGAACTCCTTAGAGAAGACTTTCCTGCCACTCAGAACTCCTTCGTTGCCCGCAGTTGTCTAGGATTTGGGGCCCCCCCATGAGGTTCCTTCTTCGTGTTAGCATGTTCATTGGCATCAGCCTTGTTGAAGTCTTGTTTAGGTAGCCATGCTGAGACTTCATGGGTGTGCCTTCCCTGTCATTTCTCAAGCAGTGTTCCTGTACCTCTGGCTCTTGTTTATGTCCCCTCTTCAGTGTTCTTGATTCTTAAGTGCAGGAGTTGGGTTGATGTGTGAGTTGGGGTGGGTCACCACAGGATCCCTTGCTCTGGCTTTTAATGGGTTGTGGTTTGTTGGTACGAGAATAAATATTTAGAATGCAGTGCTTGTAAACTGAAGCTGTCCCTAGCTGGCCTGTATCTCCTAATCTCAATTTTTTTTTTTCTCATCCTCCTAAATGCTGGAATTATAGTATGTTTTCACTCAATATGCCTGCCTCTGGTTTGCTTCTCTTGGTATGGAGGGGGCTGGTAGGATCTTAAACTTGCCAGCCCAGCTTCAATATGATTGTCAATGCCTACCTGCGAACAGGATCTCTTGCCATGTACTTTGTCCAAGTACTTTCTGGGTATCCCAGACCTGGCTTGAACTCATTGCGATCTTGCCCCAACCTCCGCAATTCTGGGATTGCACGCTGCTTTCCCTCCTCCTGCTAGGAAAGGAACTGAAAGTGTGGATGTGACATGGTAAAGTCTTGAGGGCATGTGCCAGCCCTGGCTCCTACTTGAGGCATTCATTTCTCCACTAAACTCGAGGTATGGACCTCGGAAGCTCTAAGAGGGATTGGGGATGTAGTTCAATAGTTGAGGGGCCCTAGATTTGTTCCCAGCACAGCAAGACAAAGTAATTTTTCAGTATAATTGCAAGACCCGTATGATTCTGGGCACTTGGAAGGCGGAGGCTGGAGGACCAGCTTGGCTGCGTGAGACCCAGTCTCAAAAGGCTAAGAGGAGAGCTGAAGCTTAGATGATTCAGTGGTTAGGAGCACCGACTCCTCTTTCAGAGAACCCAGATTCAATTCCCAGCTCCCACATCAAGCGCCTCACAACTGCCTGTAACTCCAGTTCTGGAGGGAATCTGATGCCCTCTGGCCTCTGCAGCCACCCGCACACATTGTTCATGAATCCAACCCTACAGGGCATATTCGTCCTCCAAGTCCTAACCTGGAGTGTAGTAGTACCAAGAGGGGCAATAACAGTCCTCAGGCAGGACGACCATTGACATCCATGTAGGCCAGAGCTTTCCTTACGGGAACACTAAGGATAGAGCTTAAAGTATTCTCCGATTACAGACCCTGGCTCGGCGCTACATCGATCCCAGGGCATGCGTACTAGGCAGGCGCTCTCCCGCTGAGCTACATCTCCATATATTCCTACCCAAAGGCTTCGATGCCATCGCTTGTGTTGGTGGGAGTGTAACTATGGGAATAGAAACTATTTCTTTGGGAAGCCTGGGAAAGGAACACACAGCGGTAACCACGGCAACCCGACGTAGGGCGTGGCGGAAGTGGGGCTCTGGGCGGAAGGGGCGGGTCGGACGGGTAGACACTTCCGGCCATCAATTTGGTGGCGGGAAGAGCCTCTAGAGTGTTTCTGTAGAGATCAGACCTGCGGCCTCCGCAATGGAGCAGCTTCAGGAGACGCCTCCGGCCGGGGCTGAGGCCTGCGGAGAGGTGCGGAGTGTGCGGCCAGCCGGGGAGGAGCGCTTCGAGGACCGTATCGGCCTGCTGCTGAGGTGCTCCCGGCGGGCATCGCGCCCTCCCTCAGGAGGCCCAGGGTTCAAACTCAGACCCCGAGCCTGACTGCACTGTCGGTTTAGCCGCCTTAGGCTGGCCAGTGGGGACTGGTCAGTGGGGAAGGGGGCCGCAAAGGGACCCTCTTCGCAGAGATGCTGGGAAGGCTTGTCGGTGGGACACTGAGGAAGTGCTTAGCGCCGTGCCTGTGTGCCAGGCTGACCTTGAATTTGTAGCAGTCCTGCCTTTGCCGTCAGCATGCTAGAATTACAGGCATTAGCCACCAGGCCCAGCCGGACAAAGACATGTCTGCCTCTCTGTCTCTAAACCTAACAGCTTCATCCCATTTCAGCTGAAGAATAAACTATTTTTTGAGTGTATCTATACTCTCAATTCTACCTTAATCTGTAATAACTTGTCTGAGGTGGGGATTGTTTTGGGCAGGAGTAATGATTAAACCTAGGGATTAAGAATCTTAGGCAAGCATTCTAAGATTGGGCTCCATCAACAGCCCCTTTTGAATTTCTGAGATTGAATTTGCTCTAAAGCCCTGGCAGACCTTCACTGACCTTCCTATTCTACCTCATCCTCCCACGGAACAGAGATGACTAGCCTGGTTCCAGTGTTAAAGTATTGTTTTCATTTGGTATTTTGTCATTTAAAGATCTTAATAACCTGGTGGTGGCCCATGCCCTTAAACCCAGCACTTGGGAAGCAGAGGCAGACGGATCTCTATGAGTTTGAGGCCAGCGTGGTCTACACAGTGAGTTCCAGGACAGCCAGGGCTACACAGTGAAACCCTGTCTTGAGAAAAACAAAACAAACAAACAAAAACCCAAGAACTTGATATAGTGTAAAGCTTTCATGATGTGTCATGTTTCTTAGCTATTGATTTAGGTCCCCAGAGACAACCACTAAGGACTATGAAACTGCCACTGGAGCATGCACCATCACTCCAGCTTTTTTCTATTTATTTATTTTATGTTTAATTTTGGATTAGGAATAATTGAACTAAAGAAAAAAAAAAAACTACTAATTACTTAGCTGCCCACAGATTATTTTTTCATTATTTTTTTATTTACTAAAAATGTTTTTTTTTTAAGATTCTATTTTTATTTTACTTATTTATTCTTTGTTTTTGGTTTTTTTTTTTTGTTTTGTTTTGTTTTGTTTGAGATAGGATTTCTCTGTGTAGGCTTGGCTGTCCTGGACTCACTTTGTAGACCAGGCTGGCCTCGAACTCACAGTGATCCACCTGCCTCTGCCTCCCTGAGTGCTGGATTAAATGCATGTGCCACCGTGCCTGGCTTTATTTTTAGTTTTTTGAAGCCAGGGCAGGCAGGTGGGTCTCTGAGCTTTAGACCAGCCAGAGCTACACAGAGAAATCCTGTCTCAAAAAAACTTTAAAAGTTATGGAACTCAGATCCTTTTACAAAAGCAATACCCACTTAATGACTGAGCCATCTTTCCAGCATCTCCTGAAGATCTTCCAGTATGTCTGTGAGGCTGGTGGAGTTTGGGGTTATCGCTTTGGGCTGCCTATTGTAGCAGTTTTTATTAACGACATGTCTGCCCTATGATGTGTAAGAGGTACCTTTTTAACTTTACCCAGGATGTTCTCCCACGGTCTTCCACGGTCTTCCTCTTGTCAATTATTCTGCATAAAATGAAGCTAAATGAGGAGACTTCCATGCCAAGTTTCATTTATCGCATGGTGATTATAACCACTATCCATAAATACTTTTTTATCTGCTCTCTTTTCCAATTTTCAGGCTAAAAGCACAGACACACCAGCAACTCTTAGAATATAAGTCAATGATTGATGCAAGTAAGTAGCTTCATTTTCAAGTAAGTTTTGTGAATGTGTATGTTTTGCCTGCTGTGTGGCTGTACCCACGAAGCCAGAGAGGATATTGGATCCCCTGGAACTGGAGTCATGTACATTCTGTGTGACAAAACCCTCATGAAATGTGGTGGGAGCCAGAAGGTGGCTCAGGCGCTGAAAGTGCTTGCCCACCAGCCTGATGGGTTCAGTGCCGAGAGTCTACATGGCAGAGGAGAGGACTGCCCTGAGAGGCTGTCCTCTGTCACACGTGCTTCCTGGGGTACACACATACACCAAATACTTATTTAAATAAAAGTGTTACTGACTTTAAAAAAACTTTTCTTGTAGATGAAGAAAAAACCCCAGATGAGATCATGCAAGAAAAACAAATTGAAGTGTATGTCATATTTTAATATTTTATTTGTGCCTCCTACTAAGACTTAATCGTGCGATCCATGTTATAATGCTGTCTTTCCTCTATGATTTTAAGTAAATAAGTCATGCTTGTACGGGGAGGTTGTTGATTTACAGTGGCATATTTGGTGCCACAGGGTGGCTGTCTCCCTGCAGCCTGGCATTCCCTCATATTGTCTAGACACTGAGTGATGAGACTCAGCTCCGCTCCCCAGCTGTGTGCATAGGCTCCTGTGAGGGGAGCCTGTACTTTCCTTCTGTTCAAATAAAGGCGTTCAACTTCCCCCCCAAGATTTGCTTTGTACACATTTCACTAACAACTTTGACATTACTGAAAGTCTTTGGTTCATGTTTCTTTCATAGTAAAATTGAAAGCCTGGAGAATGAAATTGAAGATGTAAAAAGTAAATTTGAAATGAAAAGTCTTGCACTAAACAGGTAATTCTTACCTTACTACTACTAAAGATAACCATTGTGAACTAGATGCAAACATGAGCAGGTTCCCGGGTGAGGGGATTTTTAAACTAAGCTGAATTAAGTGATGGTTAGAAATCAGGCATAGTGATGAAAGTCTGTGATTCCAGCACTCAGGAGGACAGTCTTAGCTGGGCGGAGTGGGAGGGGAACTTGGGAGTGGTTGGCAGGGCGAGTCTTTAATCCAGCATCATGAATGCATAGGCAGATGGAATCTTTTTGAGTTCAAGTTCAGCATGGGTCTACACAGCAAGTTCCAGGACAGCCATGTTTAAGTAGTGAGACCCTGTCTCAAAAAAAAAAAAAAAAAAAAAAAAAAGAGGGGCAAGGAAAGAAAAGAGTGAAGAACAAGAAAAAAAAAATGATTAGGTAATGTTACAGAAACTTTGAACACTGAGAGAAGAACTGCATTATTCATTAATATCTTCCTTTTAAGAAGGTGTGTGGGGTGGTAAGGAGTCTTCATGAAGTTAATGGACAAGTTTCAAACACATTGGTGTTTAAAAGCCTTCACAGATACATTTGTTTCAGTAACTGTTTATAGAAGGAATCACTTGTCAATTACAAAAACCTATGGCCTATAGGCATATAACCACTATGCTGTGTGCCATGTGTGTGTTCGCGCGTGTTCGTGTGTGTGTGTGTGTGTGTGTGTGTGTGTGTGTGTGTAGGTGTAGGTGTAGCATGGGGATATATGTACATGTGCAAGGAAGTAGAGGCAGGAGGGTTAGGAATTCAAGGTCATTCTCACCTACAAGAGAGTTTGAGGCTAGCCTAAGCTACATGAGACCTTGTTTCAAGATGAGGAAAAAAGGTATAAAGTGTCAGTCTCTATCCTGACAGTAGGCCCATGCTGAAGTCTGAAGGCCCAGCTGCTCACCAGGCTCTACACCAAGGTGAATGGCTGAAGCAGCTCCCGTCCACACCTCAGCCCCGCCACACACAGCCCCAGGCCATGGCCTCTTCGTCTTGCTGTTCTTTCTTATTTCTTTAAAATATTTCCTGGAGTTGGAGTGATCTTAGCGGCTAAGAGCACATCCTGCCCTTGCAGAGGACCTGAGTCCGATTGTCAGCACACACATGGGGCAGGTCACTCCTGCCTGTGACTCTAGCTCCAGGGATGGGACACCCTTCTGTCCTCACTCCTCATGTAGTTATACATGTTTTAAAGATTTTGAATATTTAAATATTTCCCATACCATACTGTTTTTAATGCTGTTTTATGTGTATTGAAGGGAAATCAATCTTGTTATAGTTAGAAAAAAAATCTAGTACCCTATAAATGTTACTTGTTCTGAGCAATGAAAGCTTTTCCTCTAAGATGCCATTTTGGGTTTTGTTATTTAGTTTGTTTGTTTGCTTCTTTGTTTTTAGGATGAAACTTTCAGTTGCACTTAAAAATAGCATGGAGAACATGGACACTGGGAGTAGGTATGACTTTTTCTCCTGGATTTAGAATAGGAAAAATAAAGGAGCTTTGTAAACTGAGTTTAGAGTGTGACTTTAAAAAATATATATATGTGCGTGGGCCTGGTGTAAAGACCCATGCCTCTGATCCCAGCACTGGAAGGCAAAGGTAGGCAGATTTCTGAGTTTGAGGCCATTCTGGTCTATACAGTGAGTTCCAGGACAGTCAGTGATAGGTGTGCATACTGGAAGGGGTCGCTCAGTTTTCTCCTGCCACATGGGCCCCGGGGAATTGAACTCAGATCCTCCAATAACAACTTAATGAAATAGAAGGACACCCCTTGTTTTTCATTGGTAGAAATGAGCTGCTTTTACCTGCCTGAGCTACAGAGTCAGTTCAAGGATAGCCTGAGTCTCTTAATGAAACCCTGTCTCAAAAAGTTTTTTAAAAAGATCTGGGAGCGTAGCTCAGCGATAGATCGCTTAGCTAGCACGTACGGCACATGAGTTTAGTCTCAGTACTGAAAAGGTGGGTGGGAGGGAAAGTAGGTGCCAGTTCCGCTTAAAGACTCCATCAGGAAGTATAAACAAAAGCTCTGGAAATCAGCAGTCTTTCCTCAGTTCCCACCTGTAATCTTGGTTCCCAGAACTCTTAAAAACCTTGTGATACAATATACCGTGAGCATCAGACAAGTTCTGAGATGGACCTGAGCACCTCTCCCCTCTGGTTGTCTTCATTCAGGCTGACTTGTCACCCTTGACAGTTCTGCCAGCTCTGAAGTGTGGTGGCGCATGTCTTAATCTCAGCTTTTGGGAGGCAGAGGCAAGTGGATCTCTGTGACTTTGAGGCTAGCCTAGACTCCAGAGTGAAATACCTTCTCAAAAAAACCCAAGTTTTTAAACATCTATTCATTTGTATAGGGGTGGGTAGGTGTGGCACCCATATGGAGATCAGAAGACAACTTGCAAGAGTCCTTTCTTTCCACTGCTTGGGTCCCGGGGATCAGACTCAGGTCATAAGGCTTGGCAGCAGGTGCCTTTACTTATTCAGCCCTCTCATAAAACCTTCAAACAGTTTTGTGGTGAGGCTGGAGAGATGGCTCAGCAGTTAAGAGCACTGGCTGCTCTTGTAAAGGACCAGGGTTCAATTCCCAGCACCCACATGACAGCTCACAACTCTCTGTAATGCCAATTCCCGGGATGTGATGTCATTTTCTGGCCTCTAAGGGCACTACACACATTTGATGTACTTATGTACATGTAGGTAAAACACCCACAGCCATAAAATAACAATAATTTAAAAACAAACAGTTTTACTACCTGAAAGGGGCAAAGTGCAAGGTAGACTCACTACACATATGGGTCCTTTCTGAAACCAGAAAGCTCAAGCAGACCAAACTGTTAAAATAACTTAGCTGGGGCCATCACTACTGTGGACATCTCCAGCTCCTAGGGTGCCTCACATTCCTAGATAAGCATCCTAATGAACCCAATGTAAACAGCAAAGTCAGTCACGTGACCTGTCAGAAACCCCCAGTGAGCGTTTAACAGACACTTCTGTCTTTAACCAACCAAATGTGTCTTTATTTGACTTCCATGATTATCTTACAAGAGTCTTTCCTTTGTCCCCTGGCTCTAGAAAAGCACTGAGCTGCTGGGGTCTGCTGTGCTCCAGGTCACATCTGGCCTGCTCAGATAAAGTCACTAAATGTTGGTTGATTTTTTTTTTTTTTTTTTTTGGTTTTGTTTTTGTTTTGATGTTTTCTTTTTTTATTTTGAGACAGGGCCTTCTCATGTCTCTTGGGCTGGCCTCAATCAGAATCCTCCTGTCCCACCCTGCTAAGTCTAGGAACTCCTGTCATGCACTCAGTTTATGCAGTCAACTGTTAAACATAGATCAGGTTTCAAATTTTTTCCTTCTAGGCATGCAGTCTGCCAACTAGGCTACATTCCCAGCCCCAAGATTCATTAGTTTGTTTTTTTCTTTACGTGGATGAGTGTTTGTGGGTAGGTATGTATTCTGGCATCAGACCCTGGAACTGAAGTTAAAACGGGGCTGTTGTGAGCTATCATGTAGTTGCTGGGAGTCTAAATGGGTCTTCTGCAAGACCAGTAAGTACTCTTACCCCTGAGCTCCCTCTGCAGCCTTGACATTGATTGTTTTTTGCCCGAGTAAAGAAGTCGTGTTTTTGTTTCCATTGCAGTGTGCTCACTGATGACATGAAGCACATATTAAAGCTGCATAAGATAATAATGAAGTCCCAGGAGGTAAGCGGGCACGTCAGGCTGCTCATGAGCTTCTGCAGTCTTGACTACATCTTGCTGGTAACTGTTACACAGGACAGAGATGTTCCGTTGGACTCTGGGACTGCAGGCCCATTCCTTAGGTTGTTTTTATCATAGAGCTTTTTTCCTGCAGTTACAAATTACCAACATAACTAAGTGACTGTCTCTCTCCTTCCTTTGGCTTTGCGGAAGTCAAGGAATTGAGATCCAGCTCAGGGCCAGGTGTTGCTGGGTATGTATGCCTGTGACCATACACAGCTGTGATCGTAGCACTTAAGAATGGAGACTGAGACCCAGGAGTGCAGTCATCCCTGGTTCCAGAGTGAGTTGAGGCTAACCTGGGCTATAAGACCCTGTCTTAAAAAATCAAGATAGCAGACAGGCATCGATAGTGCACGCCTTTAGTCCCAGCAACTCAGGAGGCAGAAGCAAGCAGATCTCTGAGTTCGAGGCCAGCCTGGTGTACAGAGAGAGTGCCAGGACAGCCAGGGTGACACGGAAACCCCGTCTCAACAAAACAAGCAAACAAACAAACAAACAAACAAGGCGTGGTAGAACATTCTACCTTGGTCCTTAATCCCAGCATGCAGAGTGAGTTCAAGGCCAGCTACATAGTAGACTTGTTTCAAACTAAAACACACAAATGAAAACAAAGATAAGGCAAAAAGGGAAATTGGAGCCTAAGAAAATTTGGCTATGTTAAACTCAGTGATCCAAGTATTTATCATTAAGTGGCATGCTTTAATCTTTGTTTTAATAACAGGAGTCTTCGGAATTAGAGAAAAAGCTGCTTGAAGTTAGAAAGAAGAGACTGCGTATGTAGAATGTTTACTTTGGTTTTTACAAGTACGTAGTTTCTCAATGACCAGTACATATGTATCCACAGCTGGACCACCTGACTTACCACAACATAATTCTAGCATTCAAAAGGCAGGAGGTTCACCACTTGTTCAGATCCACTCTGAGCTACATGGTGCACAGCGGGCTAGACAGGAATTCATAGCAAGAGCTGGAGAGATGACTCAGAGGTTAAGAGCACTGGCTGCTCTTCCAGAGGTCCTGAGTTCAGTTCCCAGCAACCACATGGTGGATTACAACCATCTATATTCTCTACTGCCCTCTTCTGGCATGCTCGTGCACATGCAGATAGAGCAGTAACGTGCATAAAATCTTTAAAACAAAACAAAAAAACAACTGAAAGTGGCTAAATAGTAAGGCCTGGGGATGTAACTCAGTTGATGGAGTTTGCCCAACATGCAAGGAGCCAGGTATTCCCCTGGCATGTACATTGTCCTGGCCTCTGGGTATTCTACACGCTTGGTGCACAGATCTACATGAAGACAAAACACCCATACACATATAGCTGGAATAACCAGGAAATTCTCTGCTTTATGATCTTTGATGGCCCCGTTTATAAAGTTGCACATGCCTTTAGTTAGGTAAGTCTACATAGTGAGTTCCAGGTCAGGCAGGGTTGTATAGAGAGGGGGTGGGGGGCGCAAAACAAAAAACATGTATATAGATATATGATATTTATGGATGTCACAGTGTTTTATTTTTAACCTAACAGAATTAAAACAAGCTTCAAGAAGTAAGCTTTTAGAAATACAAACAGAGAAGAACAAACAGAAAGAGGATTTGGACAATATGGAAAATTCAGAAACGATAAAGACCATGAAAGAAAATCTACAGAGGGAGATAAAGATTACTACAGTTATTCAACATACATTCCAGGTACCATTTTTCTCTATTAAGAACAGAGATTGCTGGACATGGTAGCACACACTTATAATCTGAACCTTTGGGAGAGAAAGGCAGAAAAATCAGGAGTTCAAGGCCAGCCTGAGCTACTTGAGACAATGTCTCAAAACAAAACAAAACAGAAACGGGCTGAAGATTTGGTTCTTTGGTTGGGAGCAATGGCTGCTCCTCCAGAGGCCCAAGGTTCAGTTCCCACTACCTACATTGCAGCTAACAACTATGTGTCACTCTAGTCCCAGGGGGTCTAATCTTGTTGGCTTTCATGGCAATAGTCCTAATAAGCAGGCAGGCATGTAGTTAAAAACCCACACATATAAAAGTAACTAATTTTTAAAAATACAAACAAAGGAGTATGTTGAATAATTGTTAATATTTAATATTGATTCATATAATTTTTTTTAAGATTTATTTACTTATTATACATATGAGCACTTTATTTGCCTGTATGCCTGCATGACGGAAGAGAGCAGGAGATCCCATTATAGGCAGTTGCTGGGAATTGAACCTAGGACCTCTGGAAGAACAGACAGTGCTCTTAATCACTAAGCCATCTCACCAGCTCTTGATTCATATAATTATTAAGGCAGCAGTTATTCCTTAGCCTGCTGTTATATAAAGAACACAGAAACCTGTTAGATTTTTAATAAGCCTTAATGCACTGGGACTAGGCAGATACTGGCTTTCTACGCTATCTTGTCTACTCCCCAGCCAAAATCCCCATAAATCCTTGCACATGTTTCCATTTGGACTACTTCTCTCCTTCATGCCAATCCCCTGAGCAAGCTCTTCCTGGACACATGCTTCTAGTTCATGCTAACCTATGGTGACTTCTTTCTTCTTCCTTCCTCTCTTTCTGGTGGTCTCTCTGCCACCTCCAAAACCTAAGAACTTTGGCTCCCCCTACTGGGCTGCCAAGCCCAGGTGTAGGCACCTTTATTTGCTGATTAGGGATGATTTGAGAGACAAGGTTTACACCAGGTCATTTTGGATATGTGAGAATTTGCTTATAGGGATCTTGGGAGACAAGCAATTACTATTTGAATGCATAGTAGCTGAGATCAACCTTAACAAGAATGTCCTTTTCCGCCCTCCCAAGACAAGATTTTACCGTGTAGCCCTGGCTGTCCTAGAACTCATAGAGGTTCTCCTGCCTCTGTCTCCCAAGTGCTGGGATCAAAGGTGTGCGCCACCAAGCCAGGCAAGTGTTCCTTCTATGGGCCAATATTTTTTAATGTAACAGCATAACACATGTTCTCTAAAATCTAGCATTATTGCAATAAATAATTTACTATTTTTGAGCCATTGTTTATTGAAACATAGTGAACAGAATTTTCATTATTATGATCCTAATCATTTCATTAGAGATAATAATCACTCATTATCTGCGACAAAAATGTTTTTCAGTGTTTCAAAGGCTTGAAACTTTGACGAACTAGACTCTTCCATCATTATGCTGGAGAGCTTGCTTAGCAGTGAAGAGCTCTGACTGCCCTTCCAGGGGTTCCTGGTTTGATTCCCAGTGCCCAGATTGCAGCTCACAACTGTCTGTAACTCCTGTTCTGGGGAACCCAACACCCTCACCCAAACATACATGCAGGCAAACACCAGTGCACATAAAATTTTTAAAAAGGAAAGAAAATGTTAGTTATGATCGTTACTACTTTACCATAGAGGGATGAGAGTGCAAAAGAGCAATGCAAAGCTAGGCCAGGCAACAGTACTTTCCCTGTAGTCGGGGGTAAAACTGCAAGTGTTCTTATTGAATAAAAACTATTCAGGAAATCCATAGGTCAACACTGGGAGCATCATCTGGCATTATGGGAAGCGAGGCTGCCATCCTGTTGAAAGCGGGAAAGCAAGAATGTAATCTGCAGACCAGTGGCTGTTCAGTAACTGTTAGATGATGTCAGTCCAAGGACGCTGGGGGGATAGCTAAGTTGCTAGAGTGTTCACTGGGCAGCCACAGAGCCCTGGGTTTGATCCCAAGCCCACATGAACTGTACATGTTGACAGATGCTTGTAATCCCAGCACTGGGTAAGTGGAGGCAGGACAATCCAAGTTCAACACCATCCTCGGCTGGAGAGTTGATGCATAGCAAGGTCAGGGCCGACCTAGGTTACACAGAACCTGTCCAGGAAAAAAAAAAAAAAAAACAGCAGGAAAGGATTTGTTTGTTAGTGTCTTGTTAAAGTAAGTGCTTCCTTTTTTCTTTAAATTTCAGGGTCTTATTATTGGAAGTAAAGTCAACTGGGCAGAGGATCCTGCCCTCAAAGAGATCGTGTTGCAGCTGGAGAAGGATCTCACCACAATCTAACAAGATTCCTGCTTTGGCGTTTTTAAGTTGTGTTTATACCCAATCTGTCATTTAAATAGCAGAGTTCATGAGAAATGGAAGTAGTGGTTTTGGAACCATTCTGCTGCTTCAACTTTGAGGGCTCAAGTTGATGCTATGACATAGAGTCTTTTGTTTTAAATATGATCATTAGCGTGACTGGCACGCAGTGCAGGAGTCTGAGCATAATAGTCTTGAAAGGAAGGCGTCTGGTCCTGCTGCATAGAATGTGGACATTTTGCAAACATTTTTCTGTAGTCCCTTTCAGAATATGTTTATGCATCTGTGCATTGATTTGTTGGCCAGAAATTAGAAAAGTGTGCAAAGTGTAAAGGTCAGGATTATTTAAGTAAGGTTGTGACTTTCTCCTTTTTTCCCCTTCTCTGTTTAACATACGTTTTACTTTTATAAGTTAAGAATTTTTTTAAAAAATGTAACTATCTTACTAATTAAGAAAGAAAATGCGCCGGGCTGGAGAGCTGACTCAGTGGTTCGGAGAACTGACTGCACTTGCAGAGGATCCGGGTTTAGCTCCCAGCACCCAGTGGCTGCTCACACTCCAGTCCCAGGGACTCTGACACCCTGCCAGGCACCAGGTGTGCATGTGGAACACATACATACGCATGCAAAACAAATCTTTTTTAAAAATTAAGAACTGACATTTTATCGACATCCTATTTTTGGATGACTTTGACTTTTGAGCACTGTATTTCGAGGTTGAGACAGTGTTTACTGTCTGCCCGACAAAATCTACAGTCATCTGGAAGATTATCTGATTGGCTCAGTTAGGGAGAAGACCTGCCCATTCTCTGGCTGGGATCCTTGATGGCGTGAGTGGAGAAAGGGAACTGAGCAGCAGCAGGCTTCATTGCTGCCTTCACTTCCCAGCATGGTAGACCTTACCTTGAGCTGTGAGCTAAAATAAACTTTCTTCCTTATATGTTTACTTTCTCTGGCTTTGACAACAGCTAAGAAAAGTAATTTAGGAAGGAGTGGCCGGCTGTGGCGGTGTACACCTTTAATCCCAGCATTCGGGAAGCAGAGGAAGGCAGATCTCTGAATTGAGGTCAGCATGGTCTACATAGCTAACGCCAGGGAGACCCTGCCTCAAAGAAAGGAAAGGGGGTATTTCCATGTGAATCGGAAATGATAGCATAGGGTCATGTTTTGAGCGCCCAGTCACTAGTGTGTGACACTTTTGGCTGCAGAGCTTTTAATGGTGGGTCCTGGCTGTAGTACTGCACTTGGCTTGCACGAGGCCCTGGGTTGGAGCTCCAGCACTGGCAGTGGGAGGGGCACGCTGAAGGAGGCCACTAGGGCTGGGCTTCTGCCTGCTGCTCTTCGCTTAACTTCCTGTGCCATGAGAATCACAAGCTCCCAAGTCACAGTGTTGGGTCAACACCAACGCTTGTATGACAGAGAACCGGTCTTTCATGAACTGGATCAGCCAATTTAGAATATAAGGCCCAAATAGTAGAATCAGGAGAATTATGATTAGGGGACCCATAATGGAGGAGATCAGGGTGGTAATCTAGGGGGACCGACTAAACCATCTCTCGTACCAGCTCTGTCCTGACTCAAAGAATTGTTGTCTCTGTCTGAGTCTTTTTCTGAGTTTAGCCATGTTATCTCTTACCAATCTAGTATGGTCAGCAGCTAAGCAGATGCTCAAGATAATAGCTAATGCCAGGGAGCCACTTTTGACTTAGCATTTCAGCCTGTTAGGGGGGATTTGGGCGGAGATCCGTCTTCTGGAGCTTCTTCATGCTGATGATTGGATCGTTGATATCTCAGTTTGAAAGAGGCTGAAATGCTGGTCAAAAGTTGGGGAGAGTATATGGGTAAAGATTACTAGGAGCCAGTCAAAGGCTGGTCAATGAGGCAGTCCTAAGCATCTGGTCAGTTGATCCACCGGAAGAGGCAGGGAGCAATCAGGTCAGTTTCTAGGAAGTCCAGATCTCAGCTTGTAGTCTATAGCTGATCCCAGAACAGAGTTGAACAGGTGAAAATCTGCTGAGACAAATTTAGACTGGAGACAGAAGTTAAAATTTATCTATTAAATTGGAAAGATTAGGGAAAACCTCATCTGTGATCTTTTTGAGCTATGTCAGATCCAGGTCAAATCCTGAAACTTATATGAAATTTTTAGTACACAAAAGGAAATGTATAATTTTAAATACTCAGAAAAGTAACATATCAGCAAATTGAACATTTTGAGAGTAACAGGTAAAACTGCATCCCACTGAATAAGTATCAGTTGTTTGTTTTATAACCTTTATATATAACTTAAGTGTGTCTATGGTAACATTTTTTCTGTGGGCATAGCTGTTGGTAATTAGCCACGAATGGAGCTTGGCCATTTTTTAAACACTCAGCATCTTTTAGTCTCCATCTCTATGTTTATACTGGAAAGTTAGGCAGAAATATATTACTGGCTTTAGTGCTAAACCCTGGATGTTTGATTTTTTTTTTTTTAACAAAGCAATTAGAAGGAATAGGTTTAAGATATTTTTGTGTCAAAATCTATCCCAGAAATGGCAGATATTAAGAATATCATATTAAAAGCTATGACTTTTGTGTCAGATATATACATTAAACAGATGTTTTTAACATGATGAGAAGTATCTTTAAGTCTATCTCCAGAAGTCAATCAAAGGAAATTAAAATCTCAACCTGGTGACTGAATAATAAGCAGTCAGTGTTCTATCAACTTATCAGAACTCTATTAATAAATGTCAAAACTCTGAACTTTGAAATCTTATAACATAAGCACAACAGTAGCAAAGAGGGGGGAGAGATCTAAAGTATCTCTCATTTTTAACATGTTTTAAACTATTTTTATTAACTTAGACACTCTAATTTTTTTTTGTATTTATTAACCCTGAAATATTTTTTTTAGACCAAATAACAACATAGATTTTATAACCTAAACTCTTATATCTTTAGACTCTATATAGGCTCTGTATTATTTTTTTAATCCAGCTATATCTTTAGACACAGATGACTAACATGAATTTTGTGAGCAGGACAAACCTGTCTTTTTTTTTTTTTAAATAAGAGATCTAGTACCCAGTAGTTTTAGCTAATGAACTGATCAATGAACTAACAGTGGATCTAATTGTCTTTTCTCTAGCTATAAAGCTGTCGTAAGCTTGGCATAGCCATCAAGGTGTTCAGAGACCTGAGAAGGATAAATTATAAGCTATATAAATATATCAATCTATGTGTTTATCAAAATGACAGAGATGACTACTTAGTCTATCACCTAGGCAGTGTCCCTCGCTCTTGTCTCATGGCATCCTGAACAGAGGCTGTCCAGCCAGGCACAGAAGGTGAGAGACTGCTTTTACTGCTTCTGTGGAAAGAGGAACAGAAGAGATTGACCTCACCTTGCCTCTCACAATGTGAGACAATGGCTCCTCAGATGTCCCCGGCTTTGTCCACAGCTTAGGCTGGGCCTTAGCAGTGGACCAGTTGAGGCAATATTGCCCAGTGGTTAGCATACCACAATCCAGAGTCGCAGTCATCTGTCGTTGTGCCCAAATCTCGGAGACCTTGGGGGAGCTACTGCCAGGATTTTAGGACTTTCTGTCACAATAAGCTTACACAGTTAAAATGCCATATTCATCAGATCTCTGACAAGCCTGAGGGCCAGCATATCTGAGTTATTTTTTGTCTATCTTTATTATCTATTTTAAACTGTATAAAAGAAAAACTAAACAAAGACACTAGGTATAGCCAACTGTAGTTGTTAGTATAACTTTAAATCTGTTCTTTCTGAACTAAAATCAAAGCAAATCTTTTAATCAGACATAGTTCATAGAGAGCCTAGCAAATCTTGTTCCTATCACTTGTATTAAAATTGAACAGTAAAAAGCTTTGTATTTAGTACTAATCAGATGACTGAACATAACTGAGATACCTGAACAAAAATGATCACATAGCTCTACCCTCTTTCTCTCTGGACTAGCATGGCGGCTGACCACGTGTAACTGAACTCAGCTGGAAGCCCTAAACAGATATGGCAGCAAAAATACAGTTTTATATGTTCTCTATCCCTGAAAGATCATGGTGGCTAGCCTCGTGTTAGGCTACCACAGGCTGTGACTGACAATATCAAACATAGCTATTAGGTGCTGATGATGATACAGCAAACATTGTGGAGCATTTATAATCTCTCACAACCAACATTTTTAACTTAGAGTTGGCTCACCCCAGCATCTAGTCAATCTGTGAACTACTGGAGTGAATGAAGAAAGAAACCGGTCCTGCAGAAGCAAAGCTGCAGGATTCCCCATGACACAGGACAACAACCAGATATCTGAGGGGTCTCTGTGAGGATCCCAGGATCCAGATTCTGTTTAGCAGAAGCCAGAGGCTTCAGACCAAACCAATGACTCATTGCAATGAGCATTTGCAAACAAAGATGTGTGGAGAAAAGAGTGTACTGTATGACACACTGACACACTACAGCTTTCATGCTGAGATTTTTTTTTCGCGGGGGAGGTTGCAAGGGTGTATATAGAGGAACAGAGAGATGAGTGGGATTTGGGTGCATGGTTAGCAAAGAATAAAAAGTTTTTAAAAATTGGCTTAGAGGAAAAGGTTCTGAAGAATGTTCTCTATTTTGACATCTGTTTCCTTGTAGTTCCTGCAGTTTGTTTCAGCCTTGTATTGCTGTAAACTAAGATTTAGACCTAAATGCTTTAGCAGATACAGTTTCTTTTCTTTTCCTTTTTTTTTTTTTTTTTAAATCAATGAACTTTAACAAGGCATGTGTCTGTAATTCCATCACTTAGAAAGCTGAGGCAGGAAAATTGAGAATCTGAGGCCAGTCTGGGGCTATATAGTGAGACCTGGTCTCATCAACAACAACAAAAAGAAAATAGGATGGATGCAATATATTGCATCATACATTAAGATCTGCCAGTAAACTCATAGCAACTGTCAGGGAGGGGGCAAGGAACAAGACATGCAGAAGGGAGTCAGAGGCCAAGGTTGGAACAGTAAGAGGACACAGCATGAGAGGGAGAATCAGATAGCATGTTAAAAAAAAATCGCTAGGGTTTATTACCTGATGAGAGCCCAGGGGCTCAGTCACTGGAACAGGAGATGAAGATGGGATTTGGGGACTGAGGCAGTTTATGCTTTAGCCTCCGCAGCTTTCATCGGTTCTATGTTAGAGAAGCTAGTCGGGAAGAATTCTGTCAAGGAGTGTGAGTGCTGATACTCCTAACAAGCCGCCGGGAGCCTGGGGAGATAGCTCAGTGGGTAAGACGCTGTTGTGCAAGTGTGAGGATCCGAGTTCAGATCCCCAGGACCCACACAAACTGGGCGTGGTAGCATGCACATCTGGTATCTTAAAGCTCCTGTGGAGGCAAGGATGAGTGAGTGCTCAGAAGCTGAGAGCCAGCCTGGTATATGCAGTGGTGAGCAACAGGAGGCCCTTTCTGAAGGCCAAGGCGAAAGATAAGGACTGACACCCAACATCCTCCAACCTCGATACACACTAAGGCAGACACACGCCACATGGACACATGCATGTACGCCTCATACACATGGCCACACAGATTTTTTTTTTTTTTTTATCAAATAAAAGCCACGGGGATAAGAGTACTCTTATTGCTCTTCCAGAGGGCCCAAGTTCAGTTTCCAGCAACCACGTGTCAGCTCCCAAGGGTGTGTAAATCCAGCTTCAGGGAACCCGACTTTCTTTTGTCCTCCAGGGACACTGCATACACATAAAACACATAAAAATAAATATTTAAAAGGGAGAAACTGAAGATGGAAAGATGGCTCCATAGTTGAGAGCACTGGCTGCTCTTCCAGAGGACCCAGGTTCAGTTCCCAGCACCCACCTACTGGCTCACAACTGTCCATAACTACAGTTACAAAGAATCCAATGCTTTCTTCTGGCTTCCATGGGCACCAGGCAAAACA